GGACCTAAGAACAGATAAAGATACAATAATTCTACATAATAAAATTAAAAACTTGATAAATACACCCACATATATTCGTATACAGATGTACATATCTACACATGACTACAAACATACCACAAAAAATATACAACGAATAAATTAGTTAATTAATTATAATTATTTAATAATTCACCGTTAGGGAATGTGAGAACTCCAATGGTGAGGAAGAAGAAGACCAAGCAGCAGAAGCCATGCCAGATGTTTGATTCTGGACTTGTGCCACTCCTTTAAAGTTTAAACAAAATAAAATTTTAAATATATTTAATAAATAAACACATAAATCTAATAAAAATATTCAACTAAGTTTTTCTACTTTTTAAAAGTCAAGCAAAATTTTAATTTTAATATACATAAATAATAACTAACAACCTCAACTGTATTTAAATATAATTGTCTAGTAAGTCATTTACAATAGTAATGTACGTTACATGTGACACTAACAGAAAAAATTTATTTTAGGAAAGTTATTCATAAATATTGAAAACATATTTATATAGAATATGGATGATTTTACAAATGAAGATTAAAGAAAAACTATAGTAAAAAGTTATAGTATTTTATTAAATATTTTATAATCAATCATTTTAAAAGTAATTTAATAATTATTAATTGACCATTAATAATACGGTGTTCCCACAACGCTAACCTGGTTAGTGCAGAGTACATGAGCCATAGAACAGAGGCAGACAGCAAGGTGATGGTGTGTGGCTTGTAGAAGAACTCCAACGAAATGTCATCTACTGGGTGCTCGTTGATGGCCTGGAAATGATCACTTTCATTATCCTTCACCGCAATGCTATTATCACTGGATTCTGAATCACGCCTGGACATGCTGAATGGTGAATCTCAATAAAGAGATAGCTGACAAGAATAAGTTTGAATTGCAATAAATTAGTTTTGTAGGCAGTTTTTTCTTAGTAGAGGTATTGAGTGATTCTGTTTGATATTGATCTGAAGCTGAACTGAATCTGACTGAACTTCAACTGAAGCTGTGTTATTTTCTTCCTTCCTTGAGATCGATACAGAGTATTTATGGATAATTTCTAAAGTTTTGAAAATTAAAAGAACACAAAATTTGCAAAAAAAATCTTATCAGAAATGACTCGAAATTACAAAAATATATACGACAAGTGATGAAAGTGTAAAAGAGAATTTTAATCTATTTACAACTGTATTATCGCTATTATGCTCATACCATGCATAGACAACCTAGAAAAGTTTTTTATTCAATCAAGCTATACTTTATTCCCGGTATATATCCTTTATCAAAATTTATCTAATTAACCAATAAATCTTTCATAATTCATTTTTAATCTTCTATTGAACTGCTAAGACCTATAATGTCTGTATAATGTCTCTTATAAAAATAATTCAAATTTTGACAACCCAGAGCGTCAAAAGCCACATATGTCAAATATATCCATGTCAAAAACTCAAAAAAAACCATGGAAACTACCACATATTTATATATTGTAAAATTCAACTGGAATATTACTGAATACTGATCACATTTATTACATTTGATTTGACTAAAGGTAATGAGATCTGTTGTAAAATGGACATCATTCAAATGCCTAGGTGACTCAGTTGCTCTCATGAGTGAATAAATCCTTACCCGTACACGATTAACTCACATGTGTATTTTCTGATTATCATAAATTTTAATTATATCCTCTATATTAATTGACTAAATTTATACTCATTAATTATTTTTTTAATGTCAAGGTTGGCTTTTTCTTTTGACAGGTTGTTAGTTCATGGTCATCATGAATGTGCATTTATATTCTGTGTAAGTATAAGTAATGCAAGTACACAAACTCGTTGATTAAGCATTGCTACTGCATTGTTACTAAAACAACCAAGCATATGTAACTCGCTGATGAAATAGTTAAATACAAATTGACATTAAATCTAACCCGGGTCACATTAATATTATTATATTATAATAATATAATAATTGCAACCATAATAATGAAATATTATTATAATAGTACGGTTATAATGTATATAAATGTGCGTGACAGCACCAAATGCAATGTAATATCATTAATAATATTTTGATGATATATGATGTGTTTTATTTCCTAAAAAATAGAAGATAAAATATCATTTTTAATGAAAAAAATAAACTAATGTCAAGCGTTTTATAGCCACTTTGAAAAATATTTGTATATGTGTGTATATAGATATCTAAACAACAAAAATAACACTCTATAACCAGAAAAAAAAATAAATAGGGTATGATCTTTTAATTTAGAGATACATTTATGTATTACATGTGTGTATTTAAGTACGTGTGTGTATGTAGGCATGAATAAATGTACGTGTGTGTGTATGTATGTATGTAGGTATGAATAAGTTTACGTGTGTGTATGTATGTGTGTGCACGTGTGTGTATATAGGTATGAATAAATGTAAACACACGTGCAACACACACACACTTCTATATATGTGAGACAAATTAATCGTAGGTTGACGTTAAGAGATATTCTTTGAGCAGTTCAACGTCAATTTCAGTCACCAGGTAGACATTTTTGTCCGGATTCTCACTGCGCCAATCGACCACACTCTCTCCCCTCCTCTGGTCATTCGTACATTCAACACGACATTTCTGTATGCGCAAAATGTGAACGTGAATGTGTGTGTGTGTGTGTCTGTCTGTATGTGCATGTATGTACTGTAAGTGTACATATGTGTTTGTATGCGTGTAATGTATGTATGTATGTAAATCAGTTTGTTTTGTATGTACACAAAAACATATGTATGTACATGCATACATTTGTACGAATGTAGAAATGTACGTTTGTATGTAGTTTAGTCTGCTTAACGCCATGCATAGAACAGGCAATAATTGCATAGGCAAATGCATAGAATTTAAATATTTAATATTTTTTTGGCTTAGTTTTATCCTGATAAAAAATTATTTGCATAACATTTAAAGCTTATGAAAAACTTTTAAGGGTGATATTTAAATCGGTTGTACGATGAGTAATCTATTCAAAAACAATTAAAAAAAATCTTATAAAAAAATTCATAGAAAATGAAACATAAAAAACGTTAACCAAAAAAAGGAAAATTAATAAAAATAACAATACTAACAACAACAATACTATTTGCAACAAAGGTATTAATGTTACCTGTCAGACAGATTTTTGTTATACATAAAAGAATGAAAAAATCACAAATTAATATATTTACAATGGGTTTGCACTGAGCGATAATCTTGCTGTCAATAAGGAGAGCCGCAGCAAGCTCGTCACATGGCACATATTTCTTCGTTTTGATCCTGACTTTGTTCAAGACATTCTTAAGAAATGTTGACGTCTTGTTTGGCTTTCTGACAAGATTCAGGTCATACCAATCCTTGTTTTTCGTTAACGTTTAGAATTATATTCTAACTATTTGTATCATTTAACAGTTAGTATTGAAACTATACATGCAAAAATTGCTTGTGATGAAAGTTATGATCTTACAATGAATAATCTGATTGATGATTTTTAAAAATTATTAACAAAAAAGAATCACTAATGAAAATATAACGAAATAGTCATAATTCTTAATTACTGAAGAATTTTATGAATTAATAAATTAGTTTAACAAAATCTGAAAAAATATATTAAATATTATAAAAAAAAGTTATTGCAATAAAAAATTACGAAACCCAAGATTGAGCAGCCGACAAGCAGAGTTCCCAAGTCACCAGACAGATGTCACCTTTCCATTTTGTCATCACTTCATTGGCCGCCTCTGGATCGTAATAGAAGTTGAACTCTGCAACCGGAGTGATGTTTCCAACACCTAAATGTATGATTGGATGTGGGAGATGCTAAAATTCATTCATTTTTTTTTGATAAATATTTCTTCTAAATAAAAAAGCTTGGCACTAAATTTGAGTAATGTTCATATTGTGATCGTTGTTGATTGAGTTAGTAAGAACCAAACATAAGTTGCATGATTGAGAATTAATTTTCTACAAATGATTGAGGCATTGAAAGAAGAGATAGTTAGTTATGTTGTTTGAAACAATGACAAGACATACTGCTATTGCGAATGTTCTGAAATTGTTACACAAATAAATTTAAATGGTAGCAGTTTAACAAGCACATATTATTATTATTATTAATTTAACAATATTTATTAAATTAATTTGTAAAGTGATAAGCCAAATTTTTGCATAATTGGCACATAGGGTAGCATGGAGATTTGAAATAAGAAGAATTACAACGCATACAGTGTAATAACTGTTGAAAAAATTACACAATCAAGTCAATTACAACCTTTATAATTTCCACCCATAATTAGTGTTTCCTTAAACTTTCCACCAATATTTTGGGTCCCCTTTTAGCAGTTAGGCCAAGCAAGTAAGTGGGGAAACAGCAAAAAGGGTGATTTCATTAGGGTACTAACTTACAAACGCCTTAAAAACTTGGACGGCATTTTACCTCTTCTGTGTGTATGGGGTGTAGTCAAATACGGTGCCATCTATGAAGTCACCGAAAGCATCGTTTCCAAAGAAGTTGTCAGAACTTAGAAGTTTATCGTTGTTCAGTATGTTGTCATGTCCTTTGTAGACAGGGATCTGAAAGTGTGGTAATTGAATTTTTTTTAAATAACTAAATAAATAAATGATGAAAGATTATTGAAAATTTATAAAAAAGTTGAAATCATAAAGCTAAGTAGCTTCTTATTTACAGATCATATGGAAATATAATATGTTATAAAGATAATATGTAATAAATGATAACATTATAACCTGATAACTTTATCAACTTTTAATAAGTCTCATCTTTTACTAAACTAAAATTCAATCTTTGTTACATACTAGATACTAAAAGAACATAGAGTCATAGTAATGGATGAGTTGTGTATTCAACAACATAATTATGTAACAAAATATTAAAATAATATTATGTTATAAAAATTAAATAAAAATTTATTAAATTAATTATTAAAACTTTTAATTTAAAACTTTTAAAAGTCATCATCATTCTTTCATTCACCAACATCAAGTCGGTTCATCAGCTTGAGAATCCTCAAAGTATTGATCATCTCCTGCTGAACGTTCGTATTGCCGGCGTTGATGGCGATGGCCAGGATTTCAATCTTTTCAGGATTTCTGAGGAGGAGGATGAGAGCAACCGCATCATCGCCGCCGGGATCGCAACAAAAAATTACCTTTTTCCGTTTCGCGTCTGTAGATAAGCCGCACCTAGTAGCCATTTTGAACTAACAATACTATCCAGTAATAAATATTATTATAGTTTTCACATGTGCCTAGTTTTTAGAATGTAATAAAATTTTAATACACTCTTCGTTGCTAGGATGTTAGTTTACATTATTTGGTCAATATTTACTTGTAGTCGTAATGAGTAAAAGGTAATTTAATCAAATAATATTATCGCCAAAAACTAAACTCTGAACTATAGCATGAAAACAACACTATTATCTCCGAAAAATCTAATTTTTTTTTCAAGATTTCAACAAAACCGGATTTTTATTCAAATCACGCAGATGAGATACAACACAACAACGCGTATTAAATGTCGTGATGAACAACGAGGGGCTTGTCAAAATACAATAAGAAGTACTTCTGTAAAAAGCACGACATAAATCCTATATTTATGTTTCTAAATATATTTAAAGATTCTAATATTATTTATTATTCAACTAAACAAAAGTTGACAGATGCCGGCGGCAAGTTTTTGTGAAACAGTGCATAAAACAATTTGCATATACAACCATTCAGAAATGTAAGTCATTCAAAAATAAAACAGAAATTCTGTCCATAAAAATAATATTCATTTAAAAAATCCAAAACGAATAAATAAGCTTGGTATTATAAGTAAGACATTATGTATGCATTGAAATGTTATAAATTAAAATATAAATCATAGGCCTTGGTCATAAAAATCTATCTGAATATAAAATTACATTCTAATCTATGCAACTAGATACCAAAAAAGATGCAGAGTTAGAAAAATGTTGTTAGTAAGATGTTCATAATACTGAAACACGATCAAAAAATAAAGAAAAAACCTACATATACAAAGTACGAATTACATACAATAGCAGAACCATCCCAGTAACAACGCACCAGCCAGATATAAACGAAACATCGACCATGATTTAGGTAAGGCATCCTTTCTGCATACTTCAAACTCAACTCTATTAGGATCTTACGATGTAGAGTTGAATCAAACCTGAAAAAATCATAATTGAAATATCATAAATATCAGACAGGTTTTTCGAGAGGTTTTACTGCTGCAAGCATAGTTCTAACATAGTGACCTGATATGGTATGTTCATATAGAGGAACAATATAAATGTTTCGAACTAAATAAACAATATTTCTAAAATAATTAGGATTTAAACTAAGCAAATATATAATAAGTATAAAACAATTAAATAAAAAACATTGCAAAATCTCACGGCAGCTGTTTTAACGATAATGACTTTGCTTTTTATACTTAGACAGCGTTTAAATGTAGTTTAATTAAAATTATAATAACTAGTATCTATGCCGATAGCTATCATAATTATCAGTGCATAAACTGTATCATCGTTCTCATCGTTGATATAGCTGTTATAGTCTAAAGTTCTTCATGCTGATATGTTTAGTTGTTATAGTCTAAAGTTCTTCATCATGGTTTTCCATGAGTCCCACAGTGTTGTTGATTTGTTGCTGCCATTTGTGTACCTTCTTCTTCGGTCGTCGTTGCTGTTTCTGTTCTTTCTCGCCAGAGGAACAGACAGAGGTGGATAGATGTTGTTGAAGATGTCCGGATAGTTTTTCTCAAACTGAAATGAAAATTTAAAGACTGTTAATCAATTATGAAATTAAAAAAAAACAATTTTTTTACTTGTACAATTAACACAAATTTGTATAAATAGTATACATAACTGGAAGAACAATCAAGAATAAACCAAATTAACAAGCACACCATCAAGCAAACAAACAAGCAAGCAAACAAACGAACAAACAAACAAAAGAACAACTTTCTTAATCCTCGACTTCCTCTTCTTCTCACTGATGGTAGAATCATGAACAATTATACTAAGCAGATCTTCTAAGGCCCTCCTCGTTTCCGAAGTCCTCTGCTCCTCGTATTCACATCTACTGACTCGATCACAAAACGAGTACGACAAGCCATCCTGTAACATTATCATTAATTTGTTGTCAATATCTGGTGAGTTAATTAGCTGAAAATTGTCAAGTTATATTGCCATAAAAAGTGGTTTGAGAAATGTCCTCACAGAAAATAATGGATTCACATTGTTGTAAAAATAAGGCTTTACAGATTTTGTGCCCAACATCCAATAAGAGATAGGAGATTTATAAAATAACAAATAGTAACAATGTAAATCGAATTACCGAAATATTGTCAATACAAGCCTAACTTTTAACCAAAACTTCATAAACAACAAATAGCACCCACCATGTTTGAAGTATTTAAATTTTCTTTTCCAACATTAAAATCAAGCTTGGGAATTTTTAGAATATCCTGATAATGATCCAGGAAGAAGATAAATATTTCGCCATATTTATGCTCTTTGATATCTCCATATTTATAATTTTTAGTAAATATTCTGCCGGTAGGATGAACCGCCTGTGAGAGTGACAAAAAGATATTGAAATTTAATGAAAGTTTCATGTAGTTAACTCTACGCTTAGCTTTGTTAAAAAATATTAAACATATGTATATACACGTTCATGTTGTTGAACAACTATACAACTTGATTATGTTATTTACATGTAAATACTGTTTAACAGTTACTGTTATAACGACGATGAAACCAGAGAAGAATGAAATTCTAATATTCAAATCAAAGAAATTTTCACAAACACCAAAAAAAACACCAACGATTATAAATAATGAAACTGTGAACGGTCATACTAAAACTATTTCACTAGCAGAGCAAACAATAAATTTTATCTGAACCTAACACTGCACATCTAGTAGAGTAAAACACACACACACGCGCACACACACACACAGGCGTACGCACGCACGCACGCACACACACACACTAACCATGTTCTTCATTTTAGACACCTCAATGAAACTTCTAGAGTCGCAGTGATATTTCTTCTCCCACTCAAGCATCAAGTTCTTCATAAACTTGCATAAACATCTCAAAATATGTCTCGCTTTCCATGGTAGCGTGAGTGAGCACAGCTGCACAGATGATTTGAACCTTTGAACATTCAGGCAAACACCAGCTGTCAGATAAAAAATAAAAAAAATTCTTATTGACAGTTAACAATGACGTCACATATAACATGGTATAATAATGGTTATTAAATATTGTTAGTTCTGCAGATCAGCACGACAACCTTTGAAATGTTTGTTAACAAGAACACGACACTTGAACAGACCATCGTCAGCATCATAATCATCATCCTCCTCCTCTTCCTCATCATCGTCATCCACATCTTTGCTACCTCCATTACTTCTACACTTACAGCTTTGTGTAATACTGGTGGAGTAGTATCTTTTATGAGAGCTACTAGTAGCAGCTGTAGTACCAGCTGTAGTACTAACTGTAGTAGTGGTGGTAGTATGAGATAATGTGACGGTATTGGAAGAGTTGTATTTTGTTGAATTTTTATTTGCAAGACCCTGCAGTCGCGTTGGATTGATGATGCCTCTAATAGAAGGATTAGCAATTATGAGGTTGCCATCATCATTTTCATCCTCACAAGCATATTTCTTCATGTGCTCCAGAGCACTAGAACTTCCAATGCCCTTGTTATTATTATTATTACAAGTTCCATTGAGGCTGTTGTGTTTATTATTACCTTGCTTTAAATCATGAAGATCATCGTCGTTGTTTGTGTTTACTTTCACAACATTAACGTTACCACCATTTTGGGATGTGTATTTTACACCAGAAAAAATAAATGTGTCCTTTGAGGTCATAGTGCAACATCTCGACCTCCAACCTGGCAAATTTGTTACAGCACAATTTTCTTTTGAAGCCAGTGTCGAATAGTCGTTATTTTCACAAACCTTGTTGTCTTTCTTAACTTTAGTATCTAGTTTATCTTCAAATGTGGCTTGCTTACTTTTATAATCTGCAAATTTTTCATCGGTTCTCCTGTGTTGTTTACCACCGTGGCAACTTACATTGGAGCTATTGAGGTGTTTGTTGTTATTGCTGCTACGTTTTGCATTATTGTTCACGTTACCATTGATGTATTGTTTGTTATTAATGACGGCATTGTTGGGCATACTGTGAACGTTGTTACTGTTTTTAACATTAATGTCACGACCGTTGATTTCCCTAGTCTTTGGTAAAGCAGACGTATCACATTTCAAAGCTGAATGCATACGTTCTCGAGTTGATGTCACGCACTTACCATTTAAACTTTTAGCGTCGACATCAGCAGTGTGGCAGACATTAACATCATTAATGTCTTCATTTAATGTCAGAGACCTGATGTCGACGCAATGCGAGTTATCAATAGAAGCAGGACTCATGAAACTGTAATTCGGGTTGCAATATTTCACGCTACTAGCGTCATTACAATTATTTTTTGTGTCGCTATTATTATTTATTCTATTATTAACATTATTAACGATTTTACTATTAATAAGGACATCATCGTCATCTTCTTCCTCTAATTTTAGTGGATAAAAGAAAGAGCCGTCATTATTTCTCATCATTACGATGGGCGGTACATAAGGAAGGGTGACGGGTCTAGCTGCAATCTTATTGGTCATTTTTGGGTAGGCCTTTTCTGATTGGTTGTTAATTTTATGGTGAGTGAGATTATTATTATAATTTGAATTGTCGAGAAGATCATGGCGACGATGATTAAGTTTGTGAACGTTTGAATGATTGATATCACAGGCAACGACATCATCCTTATCATCATCATCATCATCTGTATAATCAATATCCATGGAGTTATTGTGAATTGATTCAATTGGTTGGTCGTTAAGATCGTCATCACAACAGCCATTGCCAACATCATCGTCATCTCTAACGTTAACACTGATGTCGATGTATACATCGTCGTCATCCTCTCTGCGAATGTTACTGATATCAATCACTTTATCATTATTTATATCGTTGTTGACTACTTTAGCGATGGAATCAGTATTGCTTTTAATATTATTATTAATAGAATTATTATTTATAATAACATTATTATTACTCATAATATTATTGCTACTATGACCTTTGCCACAAGTAGTATTATAATTTGATTTTGCTACTTTAACATTATTGCACACATCAGAAGTAGAGGGAGTAACTGCAGTAACGCTAGCAGCCGAGGTAGTATTTTTAGTAACTGTATCTGTGGTAGTACTAGATGAGTAACATTTTGAAGTTGGCCACCTCGTGATAGGTGCGCCACTCCCAATTTTAGTATTACTAGGAAGTAATTTAGTAGTATTAGTTGTTGCGACTGATGCCACAGTAGCTACTGCGGCTGTCGGTGGTGCGGAACTTTTAAAACTTTGCTGCTGTCGCAGAACTTTTTCAAACTGCACTTGGTGGATAGGTCTTTCGGTTGTTTCAACATTCCCAGTTAGGTGGCAGAGATCTTCAAGGAAATATTTAAAGTATTTGGTTTTTAATGAAGGAAGTTTTATATACAACAATCAGGTGAACATAACTTTAGAAAAACAATACTATATACATGGCATGAGTCATCTAATTTACAAGAGACAGATCTCAAACTTTTTGATAAAACAATTATTATTAAACCTAATAAAACTGGTCACACATAAACGATAATCAACCAACAAAATAAACATGAAAAAACATAATAAACGAACATACAAAACACAACGAACCTACAAAACACTAAACCCAGCCCTCAAACTAATAAAAAATATCTAAAGTAACTAATTAATAAACATAAACTAGAGAATCAAAATGTTCTACACATATAAAACAAATATGGGAATCAACAGACCATAGAGTTTGAAAAGTGCAGCCAAGAAAAAATCTGGTAAAAAGTAACTCAAGATTTTGTAGAATGAAGCCATTATATCAGCAAATGATGATTTAACTTTATCACCCTCATCATCTTCTTCATAATCATTTTCATCATCTGTGGAGATAAAAATGTTATCATCATCTTTATCATCATTTATAAATGTTATACTATATTAAGAAATAATAATTATACTGAGATTCTAAATTTTTATGACAAGACATTCTAAAGAAATTGGTACAACGTTGATCGTGATTGATATGATATTGTTGGAAAGGTTACTACTACTATAGTTCAGTTACTACTGTGCTGATTGAAACCAATGCTAAAATTACAATGTAAAAGTACTAAAATTACTACTTCGACCATTACTAACAGGTGATTATCATATTCTTAATCTCATCTTTGATCTCACGAGGAACACCTGGTTGAAGATGAAGACATCAATAATAGAAATTAATATGTAGAGTGAAATTTTTTCTTAAAACAAAACACAAAAAAAACAAATTAAAAACAAATTAAAAGAATAAATTCAATACTTTTAAGATGATCGTCATCATGATCATTGATATTAATGTAACTGACGTCATCGTCGTCGTCATCATGATGAATGCAATTGAACTTGATGATGTCACCATTAAGATGATGAGGTGACGTGATTGAGTTAACATCTCTAATCTTCAGTACACGACATATGCTGTTTGAGATGGTGATTGATGTCAAATAATTATTCTCTCAGTTAATTATTAATTACCTGCAATTCATTCAATCCATTCAATCATTCGTGCATGCATACTCATTCATGCATGTATACCACGCACACTCACTCACTCACTCATCACAGTGTAATAATTCTACATCATAATTTGGCATGATGACAAAACGTACTTGGATATTAACGCAAATTTGAATGCATTACTATGAGGACCAGCTGATAAACTGTTACCGTTACTTTTATATTTGCTGTTGTTGTTGTTATGGCTGTTGTTGTTATTGCAGTTGTCGTTGTTGTTGCAACTGTTGGTGTTGGTGGTTTCGTTGTTGTCATGAATATTTTCATTATTAATATTGTTGTTGAGATTGTCAATGAAGCTTATCATCTCACTAATGCCATTAAAATTGTTGATACAATTGTTGCTGTTGTTGTTTGTGGTGAGATTGTTGCTGTAGTTGTTGTGTTTTTTTGTTGGCTTGGATGTCAGTGATTCAGTGGAGGGCATATTTAGAGCTTCCATAAAAGAAAGCATACGACTATTTGAATTTTTTGTGATGGCAGTTACGGCTGCTGTTGATGTTGTTGTAGGTGTCGTTGTTGTTGTTACTGCTGCAACTGATGTAGTTGCCGTTGTTGTTGTCATTGTTGTTGCAACTGATTTTTGTAGCAGTTGATGCAAATGATCAAATTGCTGCTGTAGCTGAATCTTCAGTAAATCATCACTGCCTCGCTTTTGAAGTTTATCTTTTCTATCCTCTATCATTAAGAATTGCTGTAAATTATAACAACCACCATCATCATCTTCTTCGTCTTCATCATCTTCATGATGATGTAATATGCTATTTTGATCATCAATCCATTGTAAACTGGAATTCCCCGAGAAATATTTTAATTTGGAATTTCCCATTTCCAGGGGACTACTTTTAATAGATAATGGAGATTTGAAATAATTTTTGGCATGTTTTTGTAGTGAATTTGTTGTTAATGCACTCTTTTTAACAGTTGATGTGAGATGGTTGGCGTTGCCTTTGATATCAAAAGCACTACTTAAAATGGGTTTAGAATCTATGTTAATGTCATTGACGCCATACACGAGATTGTAGTTTTTTTCAGAACTCGCAGAACTGGTGTCATTTATATCTGTATAGTTGATGTTATTGCTAGCAATTGAAACTTTATTCTTGTTGTTAGGTGTTGTTAAAACATTAATGTCATTGATGTTGTTGTTGTGATTGTCATTGGATATGATTTTACTCCCGTGATCAGTATTGTAGGAGACAATATTGTTGTTGATGTTATTGATAATGTTAGGAGGGTTGTTGTTGTTGTTCACATTAATTTGATTAGTGTTGTTGTTGTTGTTGAAAGATGACAATCTGATCTTATACTTGAGGATGGTTTGTAAACTATTTTTCATCTTCTTAAAAACAGGAGAAGATGGAGTCGAAGCAGCCAGTGATCTTACTCCAGGAACCTTTTCAATATTGCTGCTGCTGCAGTTGCTACTACTTCTGAGTTCTGCTACGTGTTGCTGGAGGCTACTACTAGCAGAGTGACTGACTCTGCTGTTGTCATCGTAGATGGAAGAAGGTTCTAAATTGATCCCATTAAAATGAGGAAGTGAGAATTTCCTCTTCACTGTTGTGGCAGCTGTTGCTGCTAATGCAGTTGTTGTTGCTGGTGCGGTTGTTGTTGCTGGTGTGGCTACTGCCGAGATTGTTGACGTTTTTGTTGCTGCTGCAGTCGCAAGAAACAATACCGGTTTTCTGAGTTTTCCCCAGCAGATACGAGGAGGAAGAATAGATGAATCATTGTTTTGGTTGTTGTCATTGCTGTTGTTGTGATTGATGTCGATTGGGAAACTTTTGATGTTGCTGTCATTGGTGTTGAGGTTTAAGTTGTTTTCAGTAGTGGTGACTATACCAATGTTGGAATGTTGCACCAGTTGGAAATTTTCAGCACTTCTTGATTTACGAATGGGATGAATTTGGTCCTTTGTCGTTGAATGTTCAATTAATGAGAGGTTATTTTTACTTTTGTTAATGAGGTTCCTCTCAGTTAATGTCACGCTGCTTGAGGTGGTATAGTCAGCAACGATGACAGTTGTGAAGCCATCACTCATTTCGACGTCATCGTCATTCATCATCTCGTTGCCTTCATTGATGTTCTTACTACTACTGATGTTCATTCCCACAGCAGGATGTGCCACACCTTCCAAGGGAGTCGTGGAGTTGTCAGGAACTTTGCACATTTTTACTGCATCATCTTTCATACTCAAATCTCCAGTTGAGTTGCTAAATTTTTTGGGAGAGTTATCATCTTTCGAAGACAATGAAGACGTAGGCGTGTACTCACTTTTTCTCGATATCTTCAGAGATGATTCCGATTTGGATTGGTTCAGATTTCTATGCAGAGGTATGGATATAACTCCAGGAGGATTGTTCGTCATTGTTGTTGCAGTGGGATCTGCAGTGTTAATGGCTAGCAGTCCATCATAGAAAGTGATGAATTCAAAATGTTTGAATCTAAACAATCTTGCATTATCTTCAAATGGCTCTGAGTTGAACTCAGCACCTCTCACATCTTCAAACACTTCATGCATTCTATGCATCATTTTTAAAAGAGCTGTCGTTTTTTTCCTAATAAAAAGTATTAAATGTAATGATTATTTTCAAAATTTTAAGCAAAAATTATCAAGAACTAAAAGAAATGATCAGCGAATGAATAATTGACCTATCTGCATTGGCCTTGAAATATTTTGTGGTCAGTTCAGAGGTCAACCAGGTGACAGCATCACATGCAGAAAAACAGTTCTTGTACTTTTTAAAATACCTCCAATGTGTCCCCACTGGGAAGTTGTTTGTGAAATGGTCACATAGGTTTTTGTACTGCAAATTAGTCATCATACAAAGCATAGAACTATATTCTATCCTAATAATTTGAGTAATCAAATTGTTACAATTACATCCATAAAACTACTAACCCAAATAGTAGAGGCATACTGTCCATTATACCCAGCCAAACATTCTGGCCCACTTTTGCCATCTACCCCGCCAAACATTATTTATTGAAATGACAAATGAAGTATGTGTCTTTAATTATTTATTTTATTCTCTAAATCTAATCAGCACTTGGTCTTGTCTTGGTGGTCTTTTCAATTCAATGACGCCAGTTCAACACTAATTTACGAAAATTTTAAAAATATCTACTCACTTACCTAACGTTTTACTGACTGGTTAATGAACAGATTTAATACAATTTTATTTTCAAGCAGATATGGAAGGCAGCTAGCAAAAGTACAAAATTTCACAAGAAAAATTAGAAACTATCATAAATATTTATCAAATATTAAATCAAATACATCTTATTTCGGAAAATTCGACATGAAATTTAAGATTTCAAAGCTTGCAACAACTATTTAAAATAAATGAATTTGACAACAATAACGAAATTTGAATTGCGAAGCAAAAGCAACGTGATTGGCTGAAAAAAGGAAAGATAAAAAAGTTTTAAATAAAAGTGTTTTTACTGTTCTATGGTAGCTTAACTTTTAAATTTTCGTCGGCATAGTAACCAGAACCATATCAACAAAATTTATTCCAAAAATTGTCAAACGATAATACTCACGCGCTAATCTAATTCAGTAGAATATGCTTTAAAAATTTTATTAAAAATAGCGTTTTTTTCAAAACTTATTTTTGTAAACTGTCATAAAAACTTAATTTTCACCTTTACTTACTGTGCATTGATTGACTGTGACAGCAACTAACATGGATCCATTTTTCTTAGCTGTCAGCAATTTTAGGAGACGGAAGTTTGTACATTGTGTGGACATTTGCACTGATATTTTGAAGAAAAACCCATATGATCAAGTATTTTCAATCAAAAATGATTTTTTTTAAATTTTTTATTAGCATTTAATTAAATTATTAGGCAACATGGGCACTGAAAATGCAGGGACTTACAGAACAAGTATATGTAGATGAGATTGACATGGAGGATGAAAGTATGGCTGACATTTTGATGGATGACAATGCTATTGCTAATGTTTCCAGACCAGGTACTTCTCTGAAAAGGCCAAATTCTCAAATGGGAACCTCTCAAGGTGTCAGGTGAAAATTTCAAAATTATATTTTTCAATTTTTTTGACATGATTAAATAAAGACTTCAAAAAATGTTTAAATTTAAAAAAAAATTTCTATATTTTATAGACCAATGACAAATTCTGGTCGTCCAGTTACTGGGTTTGTGAGGCCAGGAACACAGAGTGGCAAATCAAATAGTTTGGATCAGGCATTGAAAACCCCAAGAACTGCCCGAACAGCCAGACCCGTCAGTAGTGCTACGAGTAGATTCGTCAGATTAGGAACTGTTAGTTTAGAATTCACTTTTCAAATTACCATTATTTAATGTTTTTTTCAATTTTCGCTTCATTTTTTTTGATCTGCACCCAACGTAGGCCTCCATGTTAACCTCGGCAGATGGTCCCTTTATAAACCTCAGTCGTCTCGATTTTCAGAAATATGCGTCTAAGTTGAATGTATCAAAATCATTGTTTGAGTACATATTTCATCACGAGAATGATGTTAAGAATGTTAGTACGAATCAAATGTTCTAATATTTAAAAATAATCAAAGGTTTTATTTTGAATTACAATAAAAAGTAAGTTGCCAAGATTATGTGAAATGAAACAGATGAATAAATCTTTCACAAAGGCATTAGAGTTAGCCAGCCTTGCGACGAAAGCTAGTTCATTCAAGGATTGGTGGTGGAAGGTACAAATTGGAAAGTGTTATCACAGGTTGGTTGCGTCAAGATGATAATGACAATGACCGTCAAGTGCATGATTAACTTATCGTAAATTATAAACCTGAGAAGAATGAAAACTAATTACCGTAAAATAAGTTGCCTTTTTTTTTAAAAATTTGCCTTTCACTCAAAACATTTTTTTTACAATATCCAAATTTTCACCATCATCTATCAAAATTAACGTTCCATTCGAACTAGATTGGGACTGTATCGTGATGCAGAGAGGCAGTTTCAATCAGCCCTGACCAGTCAGCCAATCATAGACACGTATTTGTATCTAGCCAAGGTCTACATTAAAATTGACCAACCGCTGTCAGCTCTGCAGACCCTTAAGTTAGGTCTTGAGGTTTACTCCAATGATCTGAGTTTGCTCATTGGCCAAGCCAGAATTTTTGAGGTGTGGTTTTTATTAGTGTTATTATTAAAGATGTTGGTAATGTTAAGTTCATTGAAATAGTTTTTTTAGATCTTTGTATTATTTTACTTATTTTATTTATAAAAAATTAGTTGCTTTTAACGATGTTTATTTAGTAAAATTTGCGTTAAATACAAGTACTAGTATTTGCCGGGGAATATTGAAATGTTATTCAACGAAAGAGTCGTAGTTGATCTACAGACTACACGGCGCATATGTACATCTATAGAAGACCAACAAACAAACTCAAACAGTCAAACAAACATAAGAGAAGATATTCATGCAGACAAACAAACGAACGACACAAAAGTACATACAAACATTTAAACCTACAAAGATACAAACAAATGACTAACACACAAACACACACACAAACATTTGCACATACACACAAACACACAAACAGGGGCTGAATGAAAATGAGAAATCCCTGGCGTGTTACAAAGCCGTTTTAAATGAGGACAACATGTGTGTGGAAGCGATCGCTTGCATTGGCACCAACCATTTTTACTCGGATCAACCGGAAATCGCTCTCAAGTTTTTTAGGTTGTAATGATGATGATGTTGTTGATGATGATAATGATGTTGTTGTTGATGATGATGATGATAAAGATGGTGATGATGATTATCGATTAACCACCAAACAGGCGTCTATTGCAGATGGGTGTATGTAACGCGGAGATATACAACAACATCGGTTACTCAACTCCTTTATATTTTCTATGTTTCATCTTCTATGCTGTTGCTTTTCGTTTTGTTGTTCAATAACAGCATTAACAACGATGCGATGGTGTAACGGTAGAGTGTCTGGCACTGCTATTGCATTGACCGTATTCATATGCATGGAGATACCAGCCTATTATGCATTGTTTCGCGTGTCTCTACAAACACTGTGTGTTTGCTGCTGATGCTTCTGACTAATATTGAAGAGAAAATTGAAATAAAATTAATTAAAATAATAATAAGTAAAATTGTCATTGATATTATTTCGTGTTTAATAAATATGACGTCATGTAAATGCACTTCAAAAGGTCTTTGTTGTTTCCACGCCCAACAATATGACATCACGGTCACGTGTTTTCAGAGAGCCCTGTTGCTAAGCGACAGCCAATCATCTGGCGATGTTTGGTACAACATTGGTCACGTGGCACTTGTTAGTTCTTCGCTTTTTTGATGGCTATCATTTTGGCGATTGAAAATTGTAGTGGATTTTATAATTGTAAATTGTAATTGTGAATTGTAATTCTAAATTGTAATTCTAAATTGTAATTGGATTTTATAACAGTTTAATGACAGTGAGATTATAGAAGATTTGTTTTATAGCGTTAGTAATGGCAATAAAACAATAGTAAAGAAGTAGTAGTAGAGTATTCGGTGATATTTTCACTGCACTGAAATGCTAGAGCATCGGAGACTTGAACCTGGCTTCTCGTTGTTTCCATCTCTCATTGGCCGAGAACAATGACCATGCAGAGAGCTACAACAACCTTGGGGTCATTGAGTTTATGAAAGGTCACACAGAACTGGTATGTTTGTTGTTGTTGTTATTGTTGATGATAATGATGATGTAGTTGTGATGTGACAACTACTTTCAATTATTGAATATTAAAACTACGTATCTTTTTGAAATCACTATTTATAATACTAAAATAAATTTGGGGCTATTTCATCCATTTTGCTATTAAAATCATTATTAATAACAGAGTTTCCAGAATTATTATTTCCATTTTTTTTCGATACTTCAATTGTAAATAAATTAACCGCGAAGATCACAATGAGATTAGCATCATCAGCATACACGCATCGATACGCGCACTAACAAACAAAAACAGTCGAAAGCATTCTTGCAAGCCAGTTTCAACTTGAGTTCTGCACATTTCGAGCCTTATTACAACTACGCTCTTCTTGCCAATAAAGTATGTTAGGATGGGATGTGATCAGTTGTTGTGATCAGTTGTTGTATTTGTTTTTGCTTTGTTGTTGTTGTCGTTATAATTGCTGTTGTTGTTGTTGTTAATGTCTTTACATTTGTTGTAATTGCGTTTATTGTTAATGTTATGGCTACTGGTGTTGTATTTTGATTTTCATATCTTTTTGCACGGATACACGTGTAACCTTTAAAACTAAACACAGATGTAAACACACAGTCACACAAACACACGCGCGCACACTCACACACACACATACAAACAAACACACACGCATACATACACGTACACACAGACACGCACAAATACGCAATCAGCTAACTAACCAACCATCTATCTAACAGCTTGGAGATCTGCAGACGAGTTACAATTCAATAAGGAAGTCCCTTCAGATCAGCAGTTGCCATAATGAATCGATCTCACTCCACAAATCACTACAACATCATTTCATCATGATTTGAACTGTTTTTATTATCATAAACATCATCATCATCTTCTTCATACTCATCATCATCATTTTTATCACCACCATCATCATACTCATCATCATCATTATTATCACTATTACCTACTTATCGTTAATGTTATCTTTTAATCTCGTTAATGTTTTTTCTTTAATGTAATTGGTATTGGTTTTGTTGTAGATTTTAATGTTATATTTACAATTTTTTTCAATTGCCATTGCTGTCTTTAATATTAACTTTGATTTGCATGGTATATCTGTGTCTAATAATATTGAACAATGAAGACAGTTAATATTTAAACCGATTCATTTACGGTTTATTGTCGTTTATTTGGGAATTTAATAAAATACATTCAAACTTTTTAATTAAGAAAGTTTTTTTTTCATCAAAATTTGCATTTTTACCTTTAGATTTTATTTTAAAACGGCCAAACTGGTTTGTATGTGAAATAGTCATTTGCAACATGCAGTCATCAAAGAACCATTTAAACGCATCTACTTAGTTTTCAATAATTTTTCCAACTCTTATCTGACCTTCCTTGTTATGCCTAATGCTTGCGACTCTCACTCGTGAGGTTGAAGGAGGATTTGCATCCAATATTATACTACCATCCTCACTGGTATAAGATGCAGGAACTTTTTGTTTATTATCTGGTTGCCGATGCTGATTAGTTGGCTGTTCTCCATCCTCATTGTCGCTAACATTTTGATGACTCGGTTTCATATTCTTCAAAATTAATAATGGCGGTTTGTAAAGGAGTTGATGTGTCTTCATCAGAATCAATTGACTCAATAATGCTAGAGATTTCACTAATTTCTGACACGGCGCTGTCTTCCTTTGTCAGCCATTTACTAATTTGTTCAACAGCCTCCTTGGCAGGTAACGTTTTCACATAACCGCAACGTTCTTAAATATTTGTTAAAAATCAAAGTAAAAAATTTGCATAAACAAGTTATAATTCACTCTCAACAAAATTTGCACGTCGTTTTTATAGCCAGTTGCGTTTCAAAATAAGTTGACGTAAGTTTTATAGGCATGTCTAGTTAAATGTTTTACAAGCTTTAACAAAATGGATGACGGAAGCTTTCTACGAAAGGCTTATTATTGCATTTTATAAGCGATGACGCCACGGGCGGGTCACCATCGACCCATGTTAGGAAATGGTGTCTGTCGAATGTGTTACGCATTTAAGGGTTAACAGCACAACGATATTATTAACATCAATAAAAAAATCAGCCGTGTGACGTACCGACATTTGAAAAGAAAAATCATTTTAAATATTAAAATCTAACGGTTGTAACAAAACAGATAGTGATACAAATCATTAATTAACTAGTCAATTAAATAATTACACATAACATCAAGGATTTAGGTGATTAAATTGCAAATTGATAGTATATTAATTAATTAATTAAATCGTTGCCTAGTTAATGACACTGTGAATTGACGATCGTACTGAGGACGGCCTCTCTCTTTTTCGTCTTCTCAAACATCGCCCTCACAAATCTCACTATCTCCTCTCTGTTGATTTTTATGGTGAATGAATTGATAAATAAATGATTGATTGAATGAATGAACGAACGAACGAATGAATAAATGATTGATTGATAAAATGAATGAATAAATAAATTGTTCAATCGTCTTCAAGAAAAATTTATTTTTCCAAATTCAGTCTTAAGATATAATTTCTTGCTACATGTATAAATCGACACATACCGTTTTATAATCTACTCATTAAGATCATCATTCTTATCATAACAACATTTCAAATACCGAAAGGATTAGGGCGTTGGTGAAGGACGCAAATTTTTCTAATTTAAGTTAGTGGGGAGGAGTTTAAAACATAAAAAAATCAGGTTGAAGCAGGTTTTGAACCTTTAATTTTGTTCATCAGACAATTTTTTATTCATTTCCCCATTAAGACCAGTGCTTTTGTATGGCGGTTACCTTTATTTGTATTTCAATAAAAACATTTCGGACGTGACGCCACAGACAACATTCTCATCCTCACCATCATCTCCAACTAACTTTTCGTAGTGACTGGCGAGTAATCCTTTGCCATTGAGCCAGCCGTTGTAGACGTAGTTCAAATCACCGGCCAACAATTCAATCAACAAACCAAATTTGGTCCACAGACTAACGTGACGGACTGAAACAACATCCGGATCTTGAATGCATTCAGATTCTTTGCTCGTTTGGATGTTTATAGCTCGAGATTTCCATTTTACATTGTAGAGTTCGATGTATGATTTAGTTTCGTTTTTGAAGTGTTCGAATGTGTATTGGAGGATGTGGCAATCCTCTTGGCTGAACTCACTGATTGACGTTGTTTGGCTGATGATGTGAGAGATGATTGAGTTTATCAGGGCACCTGTTTGTCGGTTAGTTCATTGATTCATTGATTCATTCATTTATTTGGTGGATGGACGGACGGATGGATGGATGGATGGATGGACGGATGGATGAATGAGTTGAAGCAAATATTTGACCAACTCACCAAAAGTTTTGTAGTAGGTATTAACCGGAAGGATATCCATCCAGGTATCATTCAACATCTTGATACGCTTCAATAGCACATCCATCGTTTGCGTTACAGTGCATCCGTCATCGTCTGCCACGCATACAAATCCTGGGTATCGTATTCGTGAGGTTGTATTTTTAGGTATAAATGAATTTGTTTGTATTTTTTTAAAATTAAAATTCCTGGTTTGAAGTGGGATTTTTGTATCTCGACAGTTAAAATCACTTATTAATTTGTGTAATCAGAACAAATCAGAACGTACATAAGGTAAAATAAATGTGAGGAATGTTAAACTGGCAGTATAATTAAACAAAAAACCATTTAAAAAATACTGAATCTGACTAATTTTCAACAAAATCCCAAAAATCTGCAAAGAAAAACCGTAAACACCTTTAGCAGTGTTCAAGACATGCGACAACTCCTTGTTGTATCTCTCAACGAATCTTTCCATGTGAACATCACCCATGTGTTTCAGTTGGCTGGCCACCGTCGTTAACTCTATCAAATAATTTATCGCGGATTTAGCGTCAACATTTTTGACTTTGGGTGAGTTGCCGTCAAAGTTTGAAGTTGTTGTAGCAGCTGCAATGGTAGTTGTTGTAGTAGCTGCAGTAGTAGTTGTTGCAGTAGTTGAAGATGTATCATGTACAATAGATGTAGCAGTAATAGGTTTAACAGAACTTTCATCATAAACATTGTTGAAGTCATTGGGACTATTATTATTATTATTATTGTTGTTGTTGTTGATTTCCAGAATTTCTGGCAAAACTTTTTTGACGACAGTTGCTACGTGAGCCAGATACAAACAGTTGTTATAATGGATGGCTGCATGGAAGAATGAGTGGAGGAGGAATGAATGAATTAACGAATAAACGAATGAATGAAAAAACGATAGAAAGAACAAATAAATGAAAGAATGTATGATTATTTGGAGTTTAATGATGGTACGTGAATAAATCATTGTTTTTATTTTTCCCTGCTATTTTCGTTGGAACGCAATTAAGTCAAAACGAGAAAAACCAGAAGAGCTGAACTTAAAATATTATGTTTAATAATAATTTTCTGTTATTACCATTATAACATTTTTATCACAAAAGTTCTTATTAATTAGCCACAAAATGTAAAAAAAAAAACAAAATAACATTAACAACAACAAGCTCGAATACATCATATGTATACAATAACGAAATAACCAGCCACACCATTACCACAGCAGTTAAATTGTTCAACCAATTAATAAAGAATAATATCAACACCAACAACAACACACCAATAACAACACAAAACTTATCTGACCAGCAAACAACGGAAGACTTAATTGTTGCTGATGATAAAGAGGCACAACATCAACGAACATTCTCAGCATCTGCAGCATTGTTGTGATTGTTGTTGCTGTCGTTGGTGAAGCTGCTTTCGGGGCTACTACTGATGCGACTGCATACTTATTTACATTCGAATTAGTTTCATGTTCTTTATTCAGTCCTTGCAAAAGTTGGTATATTAGCAGTGCTATCTTTTTCACTGAGTAACTGAAAAAATTATTTTACGATATAGTTAACATTTAGATCGGAATACTTTGCGACAACAAATGTGTAAATAACTAAAAACAAATTTAATCAAAAAATTTAGCTACTCATTCAAGTTTTAAAATAAATAATTTTGTATTTATTAGCGATAATAAGAACTGGAAAAATAATTAAAAACGTAGAACTTGATCTTGCAGACAGGAATCTTCAAATGGAAATCCTCATCAGAATGTTTGTGACAGCCAGCAACGAATGACTTCAGAGATTGCAAATCATCAAAAGTATATCCGCCATCATCATCTTCATAATCGTCATTAGTTATTTTCACATTTTTTTTGTTTTTGATATCTGTGTTGATGACGTCATTATCGTCGTCATCGTCAACGTCACCAATAGGAAACCTAGATGATATATTGACAGTTCTGTCTAGGTATTTTGTTAGCAAGTAGTGGGCATAGCGGAGTATCTTCTTTTTTCTTATCTTCGATGCAATGGAAAAATAAACAAATTAAAAGTTTTTATGATTAGAATTTAAAACGAGATCTATAAAAAATGATTTCAACATTTAATTTTTAATTCTTTACGCAAGAAGGATAACTCAATAAAGATTTCTAACCAGAAACTTTTGCTTAGAGGCTTCTGAAATCATGCCTACCAAGTCAACGCCTGCTGTGTTGATGCCAACTTTTGCTAGAATCTTTTTCAAAATTATAAACGAATATACTACAACTTTTATGATACCCTATTTGTAATAATTTGTATTAATTTGATTTGATGAATCTAAGAAACTTATAAAATATCCTGAAAATAGTTTAAAAAGTCCGTTAGGACAGGATTCATCCACACGAATATTTCCCCAAAATGCACCGCTACATAATGCACCAACCGACCGACCGACCAAGCAACCAACTAACAAACCTCTTGAAAATTCCGAACTGACTCAATCATGGTTTCATAATCTTCCCACGATCTTGGAAATCCCAGAGATTTCAGTTTCACTCCGAGACAGTTTTGGACAACGCTATCTAGTATCTTCGGCGACAGAAGATCAAAAACACGTGATGACAAAGACTTAAATGGGTCACGTTTGTACGTTAACATCGACCAGGATGAATCTAAAAATAGTAAAAGTTGACCTAGTTTTGATAGAACTTCCTGGAGAGATGACGAAGAGGACGATGGTGCTGTTGCTGGTTTAGTTTGTTTAACCTTCTTTTTCGGTATTAAAGCAATTTTGATAACTTTTTTGTTCCTATCATCAACAGTTGACGACAACACGTTGATAGCTCCGGTATCATTATTATCATTACAGTCATCATTAATTTCATTCATTTTTATGATTTGCTCCATCAATCCACGAAAAATAATTTCCTCGGCAAGTTCCGTCTCCATGTCTGTCCAACAGCCAATGATGCGAGATGATGCTATGAGTTCCTCACTGACAACCTTCTGCGAGCACATGTGACTCAAATCCAGAATTATTTCCTTTTTAGCAATTAGGTCGTTGTTGTTGTTGTTGATGTTACTTTTGCTGATGTTTCTGTTATCGCGCTTTTTTTTGCTTCTCTTATAAAACTTTTTAGTCGAAATCTTTTTGTCCTCTTCGTCGCAGCAATCGTAGAAACACTCACCATCAACGTCATCATCACAATCATCGCTATCTCTATCAGTTTCGAAATCTCCAAAATCATCGTCATCATCATCATTTTCTACGTCATCAGCAACATCACCTTCACCAACACAAGTGACTAAATCACTTTTTTTGAATACGATCAATTCCTTCCAACTTCGCATTATTTCAACTAAGAGATCATCATTGAGAAGATGGAGCTGACAGGATAGGATCTTTCTTGTCTTCTCCAGAAGATCGCTGCATAAAAAATTTTGGTTTCATGTACGTTTTAAAATTGGGCCGAAAATTAGCAAAAAACAAACAGCCCATTTCAAAATATATCAATCGTTATATTTCAATGTCTCGTCTCGTTACAATTTTTGATAAGGCATCAACGCTTTTTTTTATTTTTGTAGCTTTATCTTATAAGAAAAACCATAATTTAAATATTAATTCGAAAGTTGACTGGTAAAAAATGCGGCAAAAATTGAATAACCAACCGTTCGAAGATCTTAGACAGATTTGAAGATGATGATGACGTTGAAGATGATGATGATGAGGAAGAAGATGGTGATAAAGTAAATGATGATAATGATTCTGGTGATCTTAAATTTTTCTTTAGCGAAGCAATGGATTCAGCGGCTGTGAGAAATTTTTGAGATTTTAGTGACATCTCTACGACGGTGAATAACTGATCGACCTGCTGTAACTTCTCAACGCATTTTGTCAGGTCATCAAAGAGTTCTAACGTCATTTGTGGTGATTGTGATGATGACGACGACGATGCTGCTGCTGTTGATGATGATGATGGTGATGCTGGTGTTGTTGTTGATGATGATGATGATGACGATGTTGCAGTTAATGGATCTTGTCCGAATATACTCTGCCAAAAATTTTGAAATGGTTCAAAAACATTAGTTACATATTCTGAAAAAATTATTAAAAAAATCTTAGAGAGAAAGAGAGAGAAAAAAAGAGAGAGAGAGAGAAAAAAGAGAGAGAAAAAAGAGGGAGAGGGAAAAATTAAAAAAAATGTGAAAGAGACAGCGAGAGGGACAGAGAGAGAGAGAGAGAGAGAGAGAGATAGATAGCTCATTACAAAACGCTTTAGTACCTTATTCAATTCCTTGTAAAGAAATTGGGACCTTGCAATTTTTAGTGCCACATCATCCACAAGTTGGGATGTGATTCGGCGTTGGCTCAACAGTGTTCCATGCTGGCGCTGCAGGGCGTTTTCAAGTTGGCTCCTGATGTTCTCAACGTTGGATGTTAACTTCGATGCCAACATTTCCGATTTCAACATTTCGTATTGCTTATTCAGTGGTTTTGATTTTGTAGGAGAACTTTTCGATGTTGCTGATGAAGTTGTTATTGTTGCTGATGAAGTTGTTGCTGATGTTGTCGCTGAAGTAGTTGTCGATGTTTCCAATGCAGAAGATGGCGTTGTTAATGAGTCCAATGCTGATGATGTTGATGTCAATTTAGCTCTTGTTGCTATGTTATTTGCTGTGTCAGTTGCTGTGTTGTTTGCTGCGTTGTTCGCCATTGTAGAAATTGTTTTTAACTTGGGGTCGAACGAAAATTTTGAAACAGGTTTCAAGTTGAAGCAGGCCTCCTAAATCGATCGTTATTACGTTATTGTTGTCAGCTTGTGTTTCAGCAAATTCAAATACACAGAACCATTCGTTATGTATATTATTTACTTCTATTATCATTTTATTTATCATTATTACGCCATTGAGATTATGGAACGGTGATGATGAAAAAAATGATAATGATAAATGAATGAATGAAAATAATGATAAAAGTAACATAGACAAAATAAACAATAACAATGTTAATAACATTGTTATTGTCAACGAGTAAAAATAGTAATAATAATATATAATAATAATAAAAATAATAATAATAATAAAAGAATCCAAAAAGTAAAAAAAACGTTACATCAATTTATTATTTTCCCTCCATCTATCCATCCATCTATCATTCATTCATCATTCTTTTTCTATCTGCCTCAATATTGATAACAGACAACAGTTATAAGCATTAACAAATGTACGTAAATATACATGCATACAAACATACATACATACAAAAAAACATACATACAAACATACATACATACATATAAACATACATATATACATACATATATAAATATATACAAACAACAAATATACTTTAAAACACACATACAAACACACAAACAAATGTATGAAAGATGAACACATGCAAACATACAGACAAACATGCAAGCGAACATACAGACAAACATGCAAGTGCACAAACATGCAAATAACCAACCAAACAAACAAAAATACAAACAAGCATACATGCATTCAGATATAACATTCAAAATGTTATAAATAACATGTACTAGGATGAGATAATGAATTGAATTATCCCACATATCAAAACCATTACCTTCTTCTTATTGCTCCAAGAATAATAATAATAACAATAATAAGATTACTATTACTTTTACTATTACTATTATTACTGCACTGAAGCTACTATTACTACTACTACTTTTGCTACTACTACTTATAATAATTATGATAATATTGTTAATAATTACAAAAATACTATCATAAAAAACATTGATAATAATAATAATAACGAGAATAATAACAATAATGAAAATAATAATAATCAACTATATGAAAAATAGTAATTGTGGCATGAGTTAAAAAATGTAGCTATGGTGAGAAAAGCAGAAATTAATTCTTTTTTTCATACCCTTATTTCGGTCTTCAGGTTTATCTGCATAGGAAGAAAATTCTCGCTCATATTATTATTATCATTATTGTTGTTATTATTATTATTATTCTTGTTGTTGTTATTATTATTATTGTTGCTATTGTTGTTGTTATTGTTATTTACGCAACTTTTGTAGTTTTCTGATGTTGTGTTGTCATCTGTGTTGTTGTTGTTAATATTGCTTTTATTATTATTGTTATTATTATTATTGTTGTTTTTGTTGTTGTTATTATTTTGGGAGTCCATTTTGTTTTTGCAGACGTCATTGTCGGTGATTGTTATGTTGTTGTTTGATTCTTTAGCAACAAGAGTCTCTAGAACTTCAATACCGTTTTTGAAATTTTCCTCATTAATATTATTATTATTATTATAACTATTACTATTATTTGTAGTAGTAGCAGCCATAGCAGTAGCAGTAATGGTAGTAGAAGCAGTAGTGATGGTAGAAGTAGCAGTTGTATCATCAACAATTTTTTTGTTGTGGTTGTTGTTGTTGCCAAATGCGTTGTTAGTGTTGTTGCCGTTAATGATGCGCCCAATGTCATTTTGATTATCATTATCATTATTATTATTATTATTTCTATGGTTATTATTGTTATTATAAGCTTGATCATAATAATCGTACACATTTTTATCTAAGATGAAGTTATTATTTCCAACGTTACAATCGACAAGTTTGGCTATGTTGTTGTTGTCGTCATAGTTGTTGCTTCTGTTGTTGTTATTGATGTTATTGTTGTCACGTGATATTTTCTCGCGCTCCTCATTGACGTCATCGTAGTTTAAATTGTGAATGACAGTTTCGTTTATTTTGATGTTTATCGCATTTTTCTGAATTAAGTTTTGGTGGCGCTTCACTGCAAATTTAGCACTGGTGTTTGTATTCGAAGAAGAGACAGTAATATTTGTATTAGTAGTAGTTAAAGTAGTATTAGTATTAAAAATAGAGGTAGTATTAGCGTTTGAAGTGTTAGCAATGGCAGTTTTACTAACTAAATCAGAAACTGAATTGTTATTATCAGTTCGGGGAGAAGCAGCGGTTGGGAATGAATGCGTTTTTGGAGTTGTGGTAAAGTTTGATGGGGTAATATTAGAAACCTTTGCTGGTTTGTTAGTAAAAGTAGTATTAATGTGAGTTGTAGCAGTAGTAGAAAAATTATTATGATTATTGTTATTATTATTGGTAGTAGTTGTAGTAGCAGCAGTATAAGTAGTAGTAGTAGTAGTAGCAGCAGCAGTAGCAGTAGTAGTAGAAGTATCTGGAGTGTATTTAGAAATGCTTGAATTATCGATGGTATTATTTAAGATTTTTGTGTTGTTGTTGTTATTAATCTTGTTGCTATCATTAATGTTGTTGTTAATGTAGTTTTTGTTGGCGTAGTTGTTGTTGACATTGGAGTAGATGTTGTTGTTGTTAGCGTAGATGTTGTTGTTGTTGTTGATGTAATCTAGCATCGAGTTAATTTTAATTTTTTTATCAAAATTGTAAACTGTGATGTGTGGTTTGACGAATTCTAATGTTCCTTTGTTGATGTTGTTGTTGTTGTCGTTGTTGTTGATGTCATTGTTATAGTTGTTGTTGCTGATGATGCTATGATCGGTGTTGTTGTTGCTTGTTACGCTATTTTTAATGTTAATGTTATCTTTGATGCTACCGGTCAGATAATGGTTGGCGATTTTGTTGATAGTATTGTTAACTTTATTATTAATGTAATCTCTAGTAGAAATGTCATTAGAGTTTTTCTTCCCAACACTTTCATCATGATGACGTTGGTTATAATCATTCGGGCTAACCAGAAGACTTGATTCCTGGAAAGTTATAATTAATGATACCATTTAAAACGACGATGATGAAGATTGTTCATCATCGTCGTCGTCATCATCGTCATCATTATCATCATCAGCATCCTCATCATCCTCATCATCATCATCATCATCATCATCATTGTCAGCATCAATATCAGCATTATCAATATCATCGTCATCATCATCATCATCATCATCATCGTCATCATTATTATCAGCATTATCAGTATCATCATCATTATCAGCATTCCCGTCATCATTATCACCATCACTTAACGGAAAATCCAACCAATGTTGTTGATGTTGATGAGTGGGAACTTGTAGACTCCAGGCAGCAACCGCTATCATCACATTTGTTATCACATTGGTTATTGTTATCATTTTTAAACACGTTTTCGTAACTTTTATAGTCTTTAATGTGATGATCATTGAAATTTTTGTGATTGAAGTTTCTCTTGATGGCGTTATCATTGCACTGGGAGTTAATATTACTGTATATATTATCGCTACTATGAATTTTAACGTTGTTGTAGTTGCTGTAGCTGTAATTGTTAGCGTTATTGTAGTTGTTGTTGTTGTTGCTGCTGCTGCTGCGACTGTTAGGATTACAAATCATGTAAAATGTTGATGAATGTCTACGCTGTCTCTCCTCCTGTTGAAACGGATGTTGTCGTTGTTGATGATATTGTGTGGGATGTTGATAGAATTGATGTTGTTGTTGAGGTAGTTGTTGTTGATGTTTTGGCGTCGTAAGAGTTAAGTTTTTGTTGGAACTGTAATTTTTTAAATAGGAATTCGTTTCGTCGTCACTGAACGCTGTGTCACTCAGGGAAGCGTTCATCCGTCTCCTTCTCAACCTTCTACTGTTTCCATCATTCGATTTCGATTCCATCTTTACTTCTGATAAAAAATCGTTATTTTTACTTAAAATGTGTTTATAAACGTACACTAATTAGCTTTAATTAAATTACTTTAATTTACTTTGATTAGAGTACTTTAATTTAATTTAATTACATAACGCTTGTGATTTAAAAAATGATTCTATCTAATAATAATATTTGACTTCTAATTTTTGAAAGTAATTATAAATGGTTGTTATATTCTCCCAGAAAGCATGATCGAAACTCAGAGTTGAGTTGAAAATGTGAAAGTGTTCCGAGACGAAAGGTCTGCATTGGCAAGGAATTACAGTACAAAATAATTCTGTTCTTTCTCATACAGACGTTGGTGGGATGGGATGCGCGTGCATTGGTAAGCTATTATACATCACATCGTCAGCAGTTGTATAAGGTATAATTATTACACAAACAAACACAAAACAATACAAATACACCAATACAAACCAATACAAATACGAAACTATATACATACAATCCAACAACAATAAATATCAAGATTGATACAAAGTCAGACAAAACTGTTTGATATAACAACAAGACGATGTAAGTCTAAGAAAAACAATGATAAAATTTCTTCGTATATTGTTTAAATACATCTATATACGTACTCTTGTATGTGACTCATATCATACATACATACATATATACATGGTGTACAAAGGCATACATGTATATGTATGTATGCATGTATGAGCGTGTGTGTGTGTGTGTGTGTGTGTATGTGTTTGTGAGTCTGTGTGTGTGTGCGTATGTATGAACGTGTCTGTGTGTGAGTATATCTATATATTTATAAGGAAACAGACATTTTTTAACATTCGTGTTTGCTATCAGATATAACTTTTTTGCATTGTTGTTCTTATGCGGAGCAATGCTGCATTGGAAAGGATTTGTACATGATACATGACGGAGATAAATATCTCTATTTATATAAATAGATGGTTATATTAATTTTATACTAATTATTTTTTTTTGAGTTAACGTTAACTTTATCAAAATTAGTAAATTTACAATTTTCAATGTTATTTCCGTGTGAATTGATTTAATAAATGTGAAGCGCTTTGTGATTTAGTTGTAATTTTAATTTAATGTAGTAATTAACTTTTAAATTGTAAACATTAAAGGTTAATTTAATGTCTAAATCCATGGAGACGGTCCGTGTTTATGAACCCCTGCGAGTTATTCAGGTGGAAAAATGTTAATTTAGCTGTTTTTTTTCAATAAATTTTGTTTGTAATTTTTAAGTTTTAGTGAATAATGTTTTTTTGCCTACTTTTCTTCTATTTTAACTATAAAACTTTTCAATAAAATTTATTGAAAAGTTTTTTATAGTTTATTTTATTTTTTATGAATTAATTTTCAAATCATTTCAGTTGGATGCTCAAGAACTTGATAGTCAACTTTTAGAACTACTAAAATATCAGTTGAAAAATGTTTTAAAATTTTACAAGGTTCTTTTTTTTATAAAAATTTTTAATTTAAAATTAAATAAAATCAAAATGTGGATCGTTTTAAGTTTTAATTATTAAATTTTTTAATATTCAACAACTTTTTTTGAACCTTTAGTAATTGTTTTTGATTTGCATATTATAGAATATTAATTAATAATTAACTGACATTTGTATTTAAATTATTTTGTTTTTCAGTCCCACTTATTATTTCAATATGATGCTGAGATTTCACTTGCATTTCGTTTGATTCTGTGGCATGTGAGTCTAATTTTTTCAAAATAACCCATATAAAAAGATTTAACCGTTAATTATATAAATGTAATTAAAAGAATTTTTTTACATTCAAGTTTTCATTGAAGAAAATTGACTCAACAATTGGACAAGGCCTGCTGTCTTTGAAATATTTCAACACAAATCAACTAAAATGCTCATCAGATCATTCTTCATCAACATATATAATAGCATCACCAACAGCGGAATCAAAGTCAGATGTATCATCTTTGACATCCAGCCAAAAACATGGTCTCCTAATTTTAAATACATTCTTTCCTTGGTTTAAAGATAAATTTGCTCCTACCATGTTTCAGAATGGTCAGCGATCTGAGGTTTGTAGCATTCTGTAACATTTACAATAAAGTAAAAAAATTTGTTGAAAAATTTTTGTTTTCAAGAGAGCCAGGAGTCACCGCATCTAACAAATAGTTTTTTCAAATGAGATTAAAATGATATTAGATCTACTTTTGCTGTTAGTCAGTGTAATTAGTCATTATGGTAAATTTTATATGGTAAAATTATGTGTAAATATGATGAACTTATATGTGCCACTTTTTAAAAATAGCAAGTAAAAAAATTTATTTATTTTTTTTTATACAGATTTGCAAACTGGTAAAATCACTGGATGCCATTCTGAAAGTATCAACATTGTTAAACTTTCTGATATTTCTGAAGAAAGGACAGTTTGTTAGTCTCAGTGAGAGAGTTCTTCACATACGAAGCATGTTCACTTACGCTCAAACAACAAGACAAGTATTCAAGTATTCTATAATTAGTAATATTATTATTAGTATTTAATTATATTATATTTTTTATTTTTAATAATTATTATTCTGTATTTATATTAATGCATCCATTCATTGTTGTGTGGTCAGCCAGAAAAATTGTGCAATCACAATGCCCTAACTTTTATCTTTCCACACATATATATTCTAATACATTCAAATCTCTAGCACACATGTTATAAACATTTAATTGGCTTAGTTGAGTAGTTAATTAGTTAGTTAAGTTAACTGATAAATTAATCAATTAATTAATATTAATTGATGTTATAATTATTGCAAAATTTTAAAAATTTATAAATCAATTGAAGATATCTTACGAGCTGACGGAAAGAGAGATACTATGGAATGGCTTCACAGTTAGTGCTAACAAACAAATACATAATCAATAATAATCATCTTTTATACAATTAATAAGATAATTTACTGGATAATCATATAAATAATAATAAAACCAGCATGTAACAAAAAACTAATTAAGCTGATCATGTCTCGTTCTATCACTAATACTAATCCTAAATTTAATAGATTAAACATTCATTTTAGGTTACTCTTCATCATTTATAATAGTAACAAGCATTAGTGGTACTAATTCCTTCTTATTAAATTCTCAGAGGGTTATTGTGCACATTGAACCCAGACACTACAGCAATAGAGCCAGGCAACTTAACCATTACACTATTTCCACACCATCTCGCGAATTATTGATACTCCTTTAATAGAATAAATGAGGCAACGATTTGTTAACCATATTTTTGTATCATTTTTCTTCTGAAGACAAAAACAGAATTAAAAACAACAAAGATAAAACATATATATTTAGAATATATATATAAATAAAATGAATATATAAACACATTAATTAAATAAACAATAATAACAATTATTATCATCAAGTAAAAATATGAATAAAATAAAATAGAAGTCACTAGAAGTAATGGAGTTGTTTTAAACTTTCACACCCTCCAAAAAAAAATAGGAATTCCTTCAGTTCATCCTACCCCTGATAAATTATCGACTCATCAAACGAACAATTCGACAGCTGCTATTCACGAAGCAATACTCAAAATCTCGACAACGAAACAACAAAATCACTGGCGACATCCACCAAGCAGTTAACAGAGCAACGACTACAACAACAAAGGATGGTGATAAGAACATTGATGAAGAAACATACAAATCTTGTCCAATTTGTAATGAATGGCCTTTCAACCCACAGCAGATAGGCTGTGGACATGTTTTCTGTTACTACTGCATACATGTAAGTTACAATCACATCTACACACATCAAATATGTATTCAATGATAATTTTCACCAGCTAATTTGAAATAAATTCACAATTTTTTTTTCTGTTTCTCGTCTGATTCAACGTGATTTTTATATACAACTATAGAAATTGTCATCAATATTCTTCTAGGTAACTTTCACTAAAAAAATCCTTTTCATACAATAATTAATACTCCAAAATTTACTCACAATAACGCTTTATTAAGAATATTTAATTAGATAATTATACTATAATTGACGTATAACCTCATTCATTCATTATCATTCATTTATTCGTCATCTCTACAAAAACTGTGACAGTATCTGACGTCACTAAAAGATTATTTATATTAAATTAAATTTATACATTACTTTTCTTCATTGATGTCTTTCATACATATACCACCAACGGTATTAATGGCGATGCCAATGACAGAATAGTCTGACATTATAATATAATAATAAATAATAATAATAATAATGATGATGATGACGATCATAACAACAGAGCCAATACAAAGACGATAGTGGGTTGTGCTGTCCGCTATGTTTCCAGACAGTGGATCACGTCAACAACATACAACCCGTTCCAGTTACCGTCATATAACATCATCTTCGTCGTCGTCATCGTCATCAGTGTTGTATTGAATTATTATTATTATTATTTACCATCGTCATATTACATTATCAATGTGGTCCCATCGTCATGTTTCTTCACTGTACTACATCGTCATCACGATTGCCATCCTATGATGACGTCATTTTCACAAATATCACCAGCATTAACACATCATTCTTGACGATAAACACCCGTCAACGTTATGATCAACAAAAAAAAACTATTAACACCAACACCACACCACCATCATTATAATATTTTCAACATCAACTATCATTTGACTGTCGTAAATCATATCATCGCATTTAATCACGTCATCAACGTCAACTTAAACATTTCAGAGTAAAATGCTAAAAAAGTTGAATTTAAAACTTCCAGAAATTTGTAGATAACCACAAATATATATATATATATATACACGCACACAACATTTATACAATCATTGTAAACGAATATACACAAATATCAATACTTCTTAAACATGCGTCAATACACACACACACACACACACACACACGCTTGCACACCTATTTATCCACATATGTTAGCGCGAGCGTGTGTATGTGTGTATCTCTCTCTCTCTCTCTCTCTCTCTCTGTGTATGTGTAGGCATAAAAAGTGTTCATAAAAAGTACGTACATAACAAGTCAGATAAGTTATTAGTGAGACAATAAAAGAGATGAAATCAGTGCCATTAGTCATAAATTATACAGTTAATATTATTATTTTTATTCTTCTAATTGTTATTATTATTGTTATGTTTGTGAATGTTGTCGAATACAATAAAACGCTGACAACACAACACTGAATGTAGTCGTTGTCAATTATATAGCCATTCAAACCCATGCGACTGTTAATATTTTAATAGTTTTTCTTTGGAAGTAACATGAATTGAATTGAAAAAAAGTCTACATTAACGAGTCTCAAGAGCAATTGGATTTATTTTTAAATTAACTGAATAAGAGATTTAATTAAATTCAAATCGGGATGTGTGTTTGCTGTCCATAGTATCAGATTCGAAATGTTGGAAAACAAATATTTTCTTTATTTTATGATGTTAAGTATTAAATTTATTCATTTAAAAGTATAAACCATAAATACACGTACACATATTGGTATTATTACATAAATACATATTAAAAGAATCGTACATACAGACCATCTTTTATCTATATAAAAAACAATCACTATATTTTCGTCAGTAAAATATAATAAATGTTTTATCTTTAATTTTTTTTTGGTAAAGTTTTCAATTTAATACCATACGTAATAATAATAATATAAATAACAAATGATAAAAACTCTGCAAATTCGGTGAATGCGTGACTTAGAATTTTCAAACCAATGGTAAAAGAACTGTAGCACCAAATATATATACGCATATATATATATATATATATATATACATGTATATATATACATATATATGTAAATAAATTTTATTCTAAAAAGTAAAGTCTGATCTTGTAATTATTATCATCATAATTTTCACCATAATTATTATATTATAGCGATAGGATTTTTATAATAAAATATATTTATTTTGGTATTAATATAAATTAGATTTTATCTCTCTCTCTCTTTCTCTCTATCTCTCTCTCTATCTTGAAATATTCGGCTCAGTATGTGCATGCTAAAATATTGATAAAAATATAATTAAGATTAAAATTTTCAATTAAATATAATTAATTAATGAGTTAATTGATGAAAAAAATTATATAAAACAGTTAATTACTTTCAGGTAAAAAAAATAATATTAAAAGAAGAAACTTACTGAAACTGGTAAAAACTTACAAGAAGACCTACAACAAACAGATGTATACAGAAATGTTATTTACATTTCATATTTTAACAACAATGAACATTGAATACTGTGACTATGGTATCTGTAGATGATAAACAGTAATAATAATAATAAATAATAATAATAATAAATATTCATTAATAATAACAATAATTAAGAGTTAAGACATGTTTTTTGACATAAGATCAAAACGCAGTTTGATAATAATACAGCAACTAGAATGAATTACAATTTAAGAATGATATCATTAATAATAATTAAAATAATAATAAAATTATTATTAAATTATCATTAATAAATATAAAATTCTCATAAAAACATATTTACACTGATTGATTTAGGATTCGATACAAATTTTAACAAGAACAAACAATAGATTTGATAGACTTGACTTTCTTCTTTTTCGTCTAAATATTAAAAAATTGTAGGAACGAACAGATAAAATATATTTTAATATAAAGAGTTTTTCAAAAACTGTAAAAATCATTCAATTCAATTTAATGCTTCTCATCGATGTTACCAATTCGACATGACTTGGAAGTTTCTATTGACATTTTGTTGTTGAAAATTGCTATCAACGATATTGGAGTTATTGGCATTGTTGTTGTTATTGTTGTTGAAATTTTGAGGATTGATGACATTATTGTCATCGCTGATGGCGCCATCTTGCATGTTGTCATCCTGATCGTGAACATCGTCGTCATCATCGTCATGGTTGCCACCATGCAACATGCTACTGTACATGTTATTCATGCTATTGTGGTAGTCGGTGCTGTTGTTGTGGTTGTTGTTGTTACTGTTGACTGTTTCGTTGTCGTTGCTGAGGTTGATGCTGTTGTTTGTTGGTGGGCGTCCTCGCTTGTTCTTCTGTCGACCGTGAATCCTGATCTGATGTCCTAATAGGTTGGACTTGTGAACAAACGACTGGCCACATACCTTATACGATTTGTGCAGTTTAATATTTCAGTCTAAATTAAATTTATCAATAACAATAAAGCATAGCGAAGATGAGCACTTTAACAAGGAAGACCTATGCGTACATTTGTGACTTAGCTGAACAAATGGGCAGGTCTAAAATCATTAAACATATAATTAATGACAAAATTTTTATGAAAAGTATTTCTTGTTGGTTTCTGTTTATTTGCAATTTATTCATTATTTACAAATAATCAACAAATAATCATGACCATTTAAATGGGCATCATCACCTACCTTGCACACAAAGCTTGTGGTCATCATATCGCCCCAAGAAGTGGACATATTAAAATTTTCACCCTGTCTTACCATTGGCTGACGGTTTTGTGTGGCCCCTCCTCTTCTGCCACCTCTTCTCCTATTGGTCCGTCTGCATCCTGAACCTCTTGGAGAAGCATTGTAGCCATAATTTTGATTAGTATTCAGAAATTGACTGTCATTAATGTAACAATCACTGTCATCATTCTCTAATATATCATTATTGACTGAAGGATTGTTGATGTTGGCTGCACCGGCATGGAGGTTGTTGTTGCTGCCACTGCTGCCACTATTATTGTGGTGACCAGAAAACTGTGACTGCTGAGTATTAGAAAAATGTGGCTCAATCTGTAGAATATTAAATAAATTATCAAGCATAACATATAATACAACTGGACCATTCTTACCATAATATTTTTATCATATGCAATAGTGACATTTACAATGAGAAATTAAAATTTATTTTCATATTGAATTCACAAACCTTAATTGACTTAACATTGGGAGTTGAACATGCAATAGTAACATTTACAATGAGAAATTAAAATTTATTATTATAAATTATTATAAATAAATTATTATAAATTATTATAAATATAATAATAAATTATTTATTATTTATAAATTTAATTTATTTGAATTCACAAACCTTAATTGACTTAACATTGGGAGTTGAACTAGTGTGACTAGAGTTGACAGGAGATTCGTAACTTGGCTGGTAGATCAGTGGTTTGTAATCGTGCATCTGCTGCTGGGGATTGCTAAAGGATGGTGGTGATGGAAACTTGTGATCTTGTTCATCAGAAACACTGTTGTTATTAATGTTGTTACTTGTGTTGTTACTGTTGTTAGTATTATTACTGCTGTTGACGTTTGTAGGAATTAATCTTCGTCGACTGTTTTGATAATTTTCAGCTCTAAAATTGTGATTTCCAGGAGACCCCTTGGAAAAATGTTTAGGGTTTGATTTGTCTGACTCAAAAAACTCAAATTCGGCTGCCTGATCTTTAGTTGCACCTGTCGATCCATCATTGCCATCTCCGTCGTCACAAATTGACAAGTTTTGATTAATATGCACCAAAAAAACTTCCGACTTGTCGACGGTGATTCCGATGACGCCCTGAATGGCGATGCCATTGTGGTAACTTAGTCCATTTCGACATAGTGACGCTATAGTATCGATCAGCAATATTTGAACGCGTTTTTGATCCGGTTTCAAATTCATTTTGCTGTAAACCACAAGCAACAGATTTTATGCCTAAAAAGAGAAACAAATTTTTATGAAAGGAACAATCTTTAATCTCGAATTTAAAATAAATACAAATAATCAAACGATATTATAATGATAAAACTAATAACTACATCTGTTACAAAGTAACTACAACAAAACAAAGAAAACTCAGCCAAATTTGTGACGTTTAGTTTGGTAATAAACAAACGATGAAAATAAGCTTAAGATGTTAAACGTTAAAAAAATACTACAGAGTTACATTGAAATTTTTACAAAATGAGCAAATTTGACAAAATTATTATGTATCTCGTGACCGCAATAGTTACACAACGTGCTAATGGAGGTCCGGCTTGTTACCATTGCTCTGACTGCATCCAACCGTTTTATTACTACGGCAAGATGTGCCCCCGATATAATGCCTTGTGTGGAGTTAGTTACTATTCCAGAGATGGCTGGGGTACGTCTAAGTGCTACAAATGTTCATTTTTTGTCCTAATTTCATTGAACAGTAGTCAAATTTAATATATAAGGGTTAGTTATGAGGAAAATTAATATGATTTTTAATACATCAGCATCTATAGAGGCCGACAGATACTGCGTTCCTGAATATTTTCCGCTGGGATGTTTCGTACCGATCTCGAACAACCGAATAATTATGTGCACATGTCGTGGAATCGACTGCAATGCAGGCAACATGCTGATGGTCAAACAAGTTCCATTCAAGAATTCTAAACCTGATTTCTATTCCATACCTAGAAAGGATTTAATAGAAACTGTCCTTGAGGACAACCGAAAAACTTTAATTTACACGCAAGAGCAGTTGAAGTTGAATGCCCAGGAGGTGAGAAACAAGATAGGAGGAAGTAGAACAGCGACAAAAAATATAAAAACAAATAATAAAAATAATAATAACAATAAAAATATTAATAAAAATTGTACTAGAGATAGCACTGAAAAACGTAACGATACCATTGCTGGTTGCAAATAATAATAAGGTGGCCGGAAAAGATGTAATTTTTATTAGAACTACTTAAGTTTGAAGATAATCTTTTCATTTCTTCAACTCCATTTCTGTTTCGTCAATTTTTATTGGGTTGTTTCATTGATAGGCCATTTGGATATCTTATATATGTCAGCAGTTTCATTTGTCTATTTGTTTTTTATTCGTTTAGCACTAGAGATTAAGATCTATGATGCTATGGTTAGGTCTGATTTTGCAATTAAGTCGCCAAGAAGGGGAATGTTTTAAAAAGAATTCAACCATTTAAAACCCCTTTGATAAATTTATTTCGTGTTCTATATACACGCACACTTATGAAACAAAACGAAACGTATATATATACACATACATATATGCATATATATATATATATATATATATATATATATATATATATATATATATATATATTTATATAGACATACAAATGTACACAACCATATATAAACACAGACACACAGATATAAACGTTTAATCTTTCATGCTCATATAAGACTAATATACACTACTACAAACATTGGAAAGCACAGAAACAAACACATGCAAATATGATAAGTTAGCAGCATTGCCGAAATACGTTGCAAAAATTAAAAAAATTCTTTATATATATATATATATATATATGTATATATATATACATATATATATATATATATATATAATTATATAAATATGTATGTGTATATTGTATATATATATATATATATATATATATCATATACTTAAAATATAACAATGTATTTTTTCCAGAGCAGTTCTTGGATGTTTACCTTTAAAACGTTATCATTCATCATGGCTCTATAAATAGTTGTATATATATATATATATATATATATATATACATATATATGTATATAATATGTATATATGGTATACCATACCCATTAATGTACCTATGTCTTCACCAAACAAAACAATATAAATAATTGTATCAACAAAAATATATATATACACACACGTAGACACACATCGTATTTGTGTATGTATGTGTAATTTGTAAAAATGTTTGTGTATGTGTGGTGTGTGTGTGTGTGTGTTTGTATGTCTATTTATATATTGTGTTAGAATTTTTTTACAATTGTAAAGTAAGCAATCATGGAAAAATAAAAAAAGATTCGCTAATAGTTCTTATATTTTTGTTTTTGTTTTTTGGTTTATTAAGCATCAATTCATCAAAACAAAACATACTAGTATGCAAGTATGTTTACTTGTGTATATGTGTGTATCCGTGGTATATTCAGTATATACAGTTCTTGCTTTTGTATGCATTATACATATCTATATGGCATGAATGTGTGTATAATGTGTATACATGTTTGTGTGTGTGTGCGTGCGTGTATGTGTATGTGTGTGCACGCGTGTGTGTTTACATACATTTGTATAAAAGTATGATCTAGTTATACGTTCAGATTTTAAATGTTGATGTTTTGTTGATAGATAGAATTTTGGATGATAACTATTTTACTCTAGTTCAGCTTTTTTTATATTTGGATATTTGTAGTTTGAAAAAAAAACAAAAAAAACTTTGGTAGAAAATGTCTTATATCATTCGATTTTAATTTATATTGGTTGTATGATGAAGAAGATGACGGATGCATGAATGGATGGATTGTTAGATGGAAAGATGACGAATGGATTAGTGGATAGATGGATGGATGAATGAACAGTCAAATAGGTGGATGGGTAGACGAATAAATAAATAGATAGATGGATAGACAGATAAATAGATGAATAGATTGGGATAGATGAATAGATGAATTTAGAGTGTTAATAAATGAACTCGTTTATATCGAATATAAACAGTTTTTTTATAGCTTGATATAAATAAAAAAATTTACAATTACGAATTGGATGTTATCTGACCGTTAATAATAATAATAATCATTAATTAATAATAGTATAATAATATCAATTAATTAATTATGATTATAAAATTATTTATATTTATTATGATAAAAATTTAATTTTTGAAGAGAGAAAATGCGTAAGGTGCTCATCCCGATTGACTGGAGCGAAAACGCGGAGAAAGCCTTTGATTGTTAGTCCACTAAACTTTTATTTATTCATCACATTCAATCTATCTTTCATTCATTCATATGTGCATTCATTCATTCATTTATTCATTCATTTATTCATTCATTTATTCATTCATTCATTCATTCATTCATTCATTCATTCATTCATTCATTCATTCATTCATTCATTCATTCATTCATTCATTCATTCATTCATTCATTCATTCATTCATTCATTCATTCATTCATTCATTCATTCATTCATTCATTCATTCATTCATTCATTCATTCATTCATTCATTCATTCATTCATTCATTCATTCATTCATTCATTCATTCATTCATTCATTCATTCATTCATTCATTCATTCATTCATTCATTCATTCATTTTATTATTACTTCTCGATTTGCTGGTTCATTCATTCATCAATTGGATTCGTTAAAAAAAAGTGCTGGAGTTATATACAACGTTTAAGATAACCTAAAATGTATTCACGGCAAAACTTAAGTATTAACTAACAGATTAGATGAATGAAATGGAAAAAAATGAATGAATGACTGACTGACTGAATAATGAATGAATGGATGAGTGAATGAATGAATGCATGAGAAAATGGATGAATGTAGACATTGATTGGATAATACATGATTGATTGAATAACAACTAAAAAATTTGACTGACTGAAGAATGAACATAATGATTGACTGAACGACCAACCAATGAATGGAGTAAAATGATTGAATGACCAACCAGCCAATGAATGGATAAAATTATTGATTTAAGAAAGTATAAAATTTTTTTAGGGTATATCTACAATCTCCATCAGAAAGGCACGCAACTGGTTCTAACGCATTTTATTGAGGCCAGTTAGTATTCTAAACAAATTTTAAATTAATTTAGTTAATTAATAAAGTTTATAAATTATTTAATTAATTAATCAATTAGTATGAGATTAATAATTAAATACATTCATTCATTAATTTTTACGTACTCTTTTAACAAATAAATAAAATTATTATTATTTATTATTAATATTAATATTATTATTATTATTATTATAGCTATTAAGGCTTAGGCTTATATAAGAAGCATTGATCTAACCGAATCAATATTTGGTTTGCTGTTAAAACAATATAGATGTTATCAATAATTATAACAAAAACACAAAATCAACGATGATGATAACGATGATGATGATGATAATAATAATAATAATAATAATAATAATAATAATAATAATAATAATCATCATCATTTTTATTCATAACCATCATCATTTTCAGTATTTTCACCGTAAACATCACCACTTCTTTTGCACTCGCCACACCATCGCCGTCGTCGTATTCATCACCTAAGACTCTAAAAAGTCTTTTATTGCAATAATAAGAGGAATAATTATAATAATATAATATGAAATAATAAAAAACAACAACAATAATAATAATAATTATTGTTGTTGATGTTATTATTATTGTTTTTATTATGCTGATTAAAAGGTAAGGAGAAAGAGTTGTTGGAGAAGGAAGTGAAGTTACTGGAGCTACAAGAAATGTATGAAAACAGACTGGTGCAGATGAAGGTACCATGATGACGATGCTGATGACGACGATGACGACGACGATGGATGATGGTGGTGGTGACGACGATAATGATGATAACGATGATGATAACGAAGATTACAACAACAACAATAACAATGATACCTAGATCTGCCAAATAAAACTATAACTCCATCATCAAAAACAACAATACCATTACTACCTCCCTCACACCAATTAGATAGACTACATATGGCTAACGGGCAACTCGGGCTCTCCTGGCGAATACATAACCAAAGTCTCGAAAGATGAGGATGTAGATATGATCGTAATGGGGGCTAGAGGTCTTGGAAAAATTAAGAAAACCATTCTTGGTAGTGTCAGTGACTATGTCCTCAGTAAATCCAAAGTGCCCGTTTTGCTCTTTAAAAGCGTTTAACTGTTTGCTGGTTGTTTTGGATGATTGGCTGTTTGGTTTAGTTAACTGGTACCAACTGGTATTTTGGTTGATTTGCTGGTCGGCTAGCTGGTTGTTTGATTGGTTTGTTGTTTGGTTGGTTAGTTTTTTGGTTTTTAGCGGCTGATTTAATTTAAATTTTTGTAGATGTAAGAGTTTGATAGCAGCTTGATTCAATACTTTTTTTTAAAATTGGATTTTTTCGTCTGATTGATTGACATTTTTGCATTTCTGATTGATTAGAATAGAAAGATTTATACACACATTTTTAATATATATATATATAAATAAAACAAGTGTAACCACATTTAATTATAAAATTAAGCGTTTTATTGATTATCCAAAATACTTTTTTTTACTTTTGCTGTTGTTTAACTAAACCAGGATTTTAAAAACTAACCAACATGATTATTATATTTTGTCACATCAAAAATTCAACATTCAAACTAACCAAATCTTTTAAACAACATAGATGACTTAATTTATGCAAATTTGCATAAATTATTTTATCTCGATAATGCAACTACTACTTCTAGCTATACTACCCTAGTTACTCTACCGTTACTTTTTCTACTACTAGTATAAATATACTAAAAAATCTAATAAATAGTATTTCTATTTTACGTTTTTGGCGTCAGTTGGTTGGTAATTTTTAGGATAGTAAAATAATTTGACGATTATGGTAAGTAACGATTAGTAACATTGAGTAACGGTAACACATTAAGTAAGTAATCAGTAGTTTGTGTTGATACTTCAATTAAAATTCGATCAAACTATCCGATGTAATTGCTCCACAATTGAAATATCCATAAAAATCCTGGTCGTCATTTTTGCGGTTGTTGCTGCTGAATCGCCTGGAACGAGAATTTTTCCCGGCGTATGTTTTTTCGCGGCGTTGTTGTTGCCGATTCGCGATGACGTCATTGGAGTGTTGCACGAGGTTGCATATTATTTCTGGTCTCTTGTCGCCATCTTTCGATCTCTTCCAAATTTTGTTGGTTTTTATTGTCGGATGGCCGTTGAGATTGTGTGAGTTGCTGTGGTTGTGCGTGGCGTTTGATTTGGATCTATTGAATAAAATAGTTTTTAAAATAAATTTGTATCATTAAACACTAAATAATATTTTAGAGCTAATTTATTTTTTCAGTAAATATTTAGAATGGCCGTAACAAAACCGTTGAAATACAAAATTATAATCAACTTTCAGACAAACTTTTTGCTTATTTTCCTCGCAACAGCCAGCCAAATAACCGAAACCAATCTTTTAAAACTCCACCCACCTTCGCTCCTAAAATAACTGTCACCATCATCACAACAGTGAGATAAACTTTCCTGGTTAGACGTCCCAAAATTCCTTCCATGCCGATCCTGTTTTTCGCTAGACGGCTGGGTGCAGTAACAGAAAAGAAAGACCAAAGCAGTAAGCGCCAGTGATCCAAGTAACGTGATGAGGACAGCAGTTGCATTGTGAAATTTTGAGTGACTGTACACTGATGAATGGTAAATTTTGAGGTGAGGGTGCGGTGATTTTGTGTGGGGTTCCATTTTGGATGGTGGTTTGGCTGCGTTCTCACTATCGTTAATGTCGTTGTTGATGTCATTATCGTTGTTGATGTAATTGTTGTTGTTGATGTCATCGGATAATAGAATACCTTCAATGTCTTTGTTGATGTCGCCAGGCTCAACGTTGCCCTCTTCGTTTGAGACGAACGAAGAGTTAATTGCTGTTTTGGTGTTTGTTACAATGTCTTACTTTCACGTCGTTTTTTAATGTAATATTTTTGTTTATTGTAATGTTGTTACTGTCAGTGCTGTTAATTCATTTTTTGTGTTCTGATTTGATGTTTATTTATAGCTGTCATAGCTAGGATAGCTATTTTCAAGTAGTTATGACCATCATACCACTTTCAACATCGTCTGCACTATCATCACCATCATAGCCACAATCATCTTCATCATCATGTCATCATCATCATCATCATCATTACCATGTTGGCAGTGAGTGCCTGTGAACTCGTCAGTGCAGATGCACTTAAACTGATTGACGAGATTAAGACAGGTAGCTGCGTTCAGACATGGATTCGATGCGCACTCGTTCAACTCAGTGCTGCAGTTCTCACCTTAATAAGAAGATCAAATATGGGCGGGTTGTTTACGTTTATCAGAAATTGTATCGCCAATATCAATACCGGGTTTAAAATATTGTCCCGATACCAATATTCAAACTTATTTTTGAAAGTATTGCGGACAACAACAACAATTACACTTTGTATTTTTTAACGCTGGTACATGAAAGCGCGGAACTATTGTTTTATCTACAACTGCTTTTTAAAAGATGAAAAACTTGTTATATGAAAGATGAAATTGTATGGAATAGTATACTGCGTATGGTTTTTTTGGTTTGAAAAATATCAGTGACATTAACCAAACAAATAAACGAACGAATCAACCAACCAAACAACCAACCAACTAACTAACCAACCAACCATCCTGCCAGCCAGCCAGCCAGCCAACCAACCAACCAACCATTCAACCAATCATTCAACCAACCGACCAATGAATGACGCACCCACCCTCATAATCCAGCCAACCTGCATAACCGGGAAAGCACTCACATACGTAGTACGTTCCGTAATCCAGGCATATCTGAGTGCAAGGATGTTCGGCGCACATGTCGACCTTGATGATTGAAGGAATAAATGTATGTATGTCTTTTAGGTATGTATGTATGTATGTATGTATGTATGTATGTATGTATGTATGTATGTATGTATGTATGTATGTACGTATGTATATATGTATGTATGTATGTATGTATGTATGTATGCATGTATGTATGTATGCATGCCTGCATGCATGTATGTTTGTACCATACAAATATGAACTTTCCATATGCAATAAATGTATTTCTGCTGTTGAATATAAATAAAACTTTAATTCGTAACCACAGCCTAAATGTGGTTTTGACATTTTTTAATTTGTGTAATCATTTTTTAAAACACCTCAACCAACTATATTTTTATCATCGTCATCATCATCATCACCATCATCGTTATCTTCATTATTATCACCATCATCATTATCATCGCCATCACCATTATCATCGTCATCACCACTATCATCGTTATCATCATCATTAACTTTATTATAATTATTATAGTTTTAGCCTACAACATCATCAACAAACATCAGTAACCAGCAACAACCTTTTTGGCACAGTCAGTTCCTTGAAATCCAGACTGACACTTACACCAATGCTTTCTCACGATTGCTCCACTATCATATCCCGTGACGTCATTACATTTTCCGCCATTCCTACAGACTGACCAATCAGAGCAGTCTTCTTCCGGGCACGCGACATCACATGGACCAGATTGCAGTTGGTTCTCTTCTACTATTTGCTGCAAAGGTGGCAGAGACGATGATGGTGATGATAACTGTGATGACGACGACGATGATGATGATAGTGGCGACGACGATGATGTTGATGATGATGCAGGCGACAACGTTGGCGGTAATTTTAGTGAATCCAGGATCGCCACTTTATTTACGACTTTGTTTTCATGCATTCCAGAGCCGGCGATTTCAGAGTAATTGTTGTTTATGTTGTTGTTTGTGATGTTTGTGTTGTTGTTGTCTGTGTTGTTGTTGTATATGTTGTTGTTGATCATATTGTTGTCTATGCTGTTGTTTGTGTGGTTGTATGTGTAAAAGGTGTTTATGGCAAAGTCAGTATTTATATCCTGATGGTTGTTAACGATGATGTCCACGGTGTTGTTATTAATGTTGTTGTTGTTGTTGTCGAGAGTGTAATTGCTGTTGTTAGTGTTGTTGGTAGTATAATTATTGGAATTTATATGCGTTTGTTTGACGGGATGAATAATGAATGTTGGATCGGCTTCTATGTAACTTTGTTTTACGAGTTTATTCTTTGAAATCGTCATTTGATCATTATTGTTCGTGTTGTTGATACTCGCCCTGTTAATGTCGTTGTAGTTGCTGTTGGTTATGTTTATGTTAATGTTGTTGTTGTTGCTGCTGATGTTGTTGTTGCCGTTTTTGTTGTTAATAATGTTGTTGCTGATGATGATGATGTTGTTGTTGTTGTTTTTGTTGGTAATGTTTTTGTCGGCGTTGTTGTCGATGATGATGTTGTTGTTGAGGTTGTCACTAACGATGTTGTTGTTATGTTTGTTGTTGTTATTAATGTTATTAATATTGTTGTTGTTGTTGTATCCCGAATGAAAAATTCTTCGAATGTACTCTCTGATGTTGATGGCAACTTTGTTGTTGTTATTATTATTATTATTATTAACGAGGTTATTATAGTCACGGTTATTATTATCATTAAGATTATTATTATTATTGTTATTAACGTTAATTTTGACGCCATTGTTGTCGCCAGCATTTAAATCGCTAGTCGCGTTACTGTTGATGTTTTTATAGGAGAGTATGTCTGGCTGGCTCGTTTTATTAATGTAGTTAATGTCATCTTTTATGTTCGTTTGTAAGTTGTTGTTGTTGTTGTTTGTGACGTAGTCGTTATCATTGTTATTTTTCGTGTTACTGATGTTTTTATTGTTACTGTTGCTTATATTGATGATGTCATTATCATTGTTGTTGATGTTGTTGTTGATGCTCTTAATGTTATTGTTGTTCATATTGATGGCGTCGTCATCATCATTGTTGGTGTTGTTGTTATTGTTGTTGTTTGTGAAGTGCTTATCTTGCATCAAAGCACTGACCTGTTGCGCAATTGCTGACGTCATGTTAAAATCACGTGATCCATTCACTCCACTCTTCTGTGTAATATAACAATTGTTGTTTGTGCTGTTAGTGTTGTTGTTGTTGTTGTTGTCAGCGTTGTTTGTGTTGTTGTTGTTATGTTTGCAATGTTGTTATTGCTATATTAAATGTCATCACCCTTGCCACATCATCATATTCATCGTAGTCGTCTTCATCATTTCATTATGAGTTTATATTTCGGATATTTAAGTATAAAATTGAATTCTTCACGGTCCTTAATATTAAAAAAACATACCATGTTTTGGATACCAAAGTAAGAGGAGGAAGATGGCGATGATGACGACGATGATGACGAAGATGATGATGACGATGACGATGACAAATATGATAATGAAAATAGTAACGACAAGGGTGACGTAGAAACTGTTGATGTTATTGTTGATGCTGTTGTTATCAATGAAATAAATGACGATGATGATGATGAATTTATTTTTGGTTTTTTTGCTGTTTGTGATAATGCTGATGATGGCGTTTCGTTTGTTGGCAGTGGTGGCCTCCGATTTGTCGAAAAATTTGCATTAATGTGAATGATTAATTGCTCGACATCATGTTTTATGTTATTATTGATATTATTACTATTGTTATTGTTGTTATTATTATTGTTGTTGTTATTATCATTGTTGTTGGTACAGTTGCGGCTTAATACCTTGACAGCTCGATACGAGCCAACATGATAAATTTCTGTTGCAAAGGTCTGCGATGATGAAGATGATGATGATGTAGATGATGATGTAGATGATGATGAAAATGATGAAGATGATGAAGAAGATGATGAAGAAGATGATGAAGATGATGATGAAGATGATGAGAAAGATGATGATGGTGACAATGAAGAAAATGATGACGGTGATGAAAATGATGACGGTGACGATGATGATGGTGATAACGAAATGAATGATGGTGATGATGAATGAAATGATGACGACGACGATGAAGATGACGTCATTGGAATTCCCTTTCGTGCTTCTGTTTTGTTGGAAATTTTTTTATAATTTATTTGAAATTTCATGGAAGCAATACATAACGAACGAATTTTGTGGAGTTTGACGATGACAATGAATATAGTGATTATAATGATGATAACGATGATGATGATAATGACAACGATGATGATGACGATGACGACGATGATGATAAAGATGATGATGGTGACGACGATGATGATAACTATAAGATGATTGTGGTGATGATAGTATTAGAAATGATTGGATGATATAAAAATAATAATGAAACTCAACGTCATAATGTTAATATTAACATATTTTTGTATGTTTACGTGCGTGTGCGTGCATGTGTAGTGTGTGCGTGTGTGATTTCTGTTTGAATTGCCTTCGGTGTTTGATGTCAAAATTTAAATAAATTTCGAGAAAAAAATATTCCAAGTTTTTCGTCAACAAAAATAGCTACATTTACATCTAAATGAAAACATCTATCTTACTCATGATGACGTAATCCATTTCCGGTTTCATTACTTCCGCTTTCACGATGTAAATTTCTGCGCCATCGTCGTCGCTGGCGCTTTTGTCGGTTGACGTTGGAAAAACGACGCTTACGTCACTTCCGTTTTGTTCTACTTCCGCCATGTCAATCAGGCGAGATCGGGGATGTACATGTTGCAAGAGAAAATGTTCAGTCGCCAGTAAAATTAAATTGCCTGATTGGATGCTTTTGTTGTTGTTGTTGCTATTGCTGCTCGTATTAATTTTGTCGATGATGTTGTGATTGATGTTGCTGATGCCTTCGTTGATATTTTTACTGATGTCAGAGTTGCTGATGACATTAATTTCAACACTCATGTCATTCTTGTTTTTTAAATTGTTATTGTTGACATTAATGTTGTTGCTTTTAGTAATGTCACCGTAGTTGTTGTCAATTTTGTTGTTGTTAGTGTTGTTGTTAGTGTTGTCAGTATTGTTGTTGTTATTGACATTATTATCTCGGCAAACAATAATTCTGAGGAAATTAATTGAATTAGTTTATTAATAATTCAGTGAACGGTACGTGCCATAAGAATGATTATTCTCGCATGCATGTTAGGCGAAATAAAATATTCAACATTATTTATTTCGAGTAAATTTTTTGATTGATAAATTTTGTATTTTTAAAATCTTTTTCAAAAATACGAAAGATCCAAAAAATTTTTTTTTAGAAAAAAATTGACACAAAACAATTTGTGTCAATAAATAAATTCAATACTATCAAAAAACGGTAAGAATTCAACCCAAAAATTTAATGAAAACAAACAAGGCTAGCCAATCCATTCCAATCCAAGACATCAACATCGTCATCATTCTCTTCATCCTCTTCATCATCATCATTTTCATTATCATAATCAGAATTATCGTCATTATAATTGTTGTTATTATTATTGTTATTAATAAAATTATCTTTATAAATGTTTTAAACCATATTATGAAAGCAAGGACAACTCTTTCTTCATCCTAATCATCATAGTCATTATCGTTGTTATCATCATCGTCATCATCATCCTTTTCATCATCATCATCATAATCAGCAGCATCGTCAGCCTGGCCAACTGAATAGCAACGCCATCTCCTCGTTATGCATGTAAGTAGATTCCACTCGGCCCGATAACCGCACATCACATTCGAGTCGGTACCGGTTTCAAACGAACATCTTCGTGTCTCGGTAGATGCGTAGCATCAAAATGAAGTTTCAACGAAACGAGACGAGCTCGTAATGCAAAACTGATGTTTATATGAATCGGAAAGAATTAAAAGCTTTTCTTACGGCGATGTTACATGTAATCATTATTGGCGTTTATGTATTATTTTCAAAGCCAGTTCTATAAGAATTCGTGTTAATGTTTGTTTGATTAAGTTCTTTCATTGTCGTGAGATTATTTTCGTGTATGTTTCAAACGCAAATTTTTGTAAATTTGTGCGTATGTCTGTGAGTTTTTGTGGGTTAGTTTGGAAGTGTGTATATGAGTGTGTGTGTGTGTCAGCGTTTGTGTGCAAGTCTGTGTGTAGATGAGTTTGTGTGTGTGTGCACGTGAGTGTGCGTGTAGGTATGTGTCTGCTAACGTGTTACGTTATTGGTAGGAATGTAATTCGATTAAATGGAGCGTTTAATCTTGATGTGTAACGCCTACCTTTCTCGCCTTTGCGTGTACGCTTGGTCTGTTTGCATGTATGTGTGCGTATTTCATTGCGTCTGTGTGCATGTATGTGTGAATGTGCATGAATGCATGCATGTGTGCACGTGCATGTATGAGATTTGATGTGCGTACAAATGCGTGCATGTTTGTCAGTGCAGTCTTAAGTATATAAGTTTGTTTGTGAGTTGTCTGCGTTCAAATGTTGAAGCACTTGCGTTTGCTTGTTTGCATGTGCTCACTGCACAGCTTGTTGGATGATGATGAATTAAAGGACGTGACGTCACTACATGAATTGAATAAATAGACTGATGCATGGATGGATTAAATGGGTGGATGATGCATGGATGAATTAAATGGATGGATGGCGTGGCTGAATTAAATGAATAGATGATGCATGAATGAATTGTAAAAAGTTAAAAAAAGGATTGAAACAAATTGAAAGTGACTGAGAGATATAACTGAATAAAATAATGTTTCAAAATAATTTAATAGACAGATTGAGTGAGTGAAAAAATGAATTAATGAATAAGCGAACGAACGATTGAATGCATGAACGAACAAACAAATAAATAAATACGAATAAATGAAGAAAAGAATGAATGAATAAAAAATTGATTAGTTGAATGAACCAACGAACGAACGAATAATTCAATTTAAAATGGATGGATAAATGAATAAATGAATGAATGAATGAAAGAGCAGATAGAACGAAGAAAAAACGTACGTAAGAAGAATAGACAATTAAATAGACTCATAGATGATTGATAGACTGAGTTATAGAAGAAAAGATAGATGGATGGATTAAATTTGAAATAAATGAGCAAAGCCATATTTATTTATTTAACTATAAAATCGTGCATTTACGTCAAATTACATTTTGTTTATATACAAACGCACGCACATGTACATAGAAGCTAACAGAAACCTACACAGAATCTCATACACGCATAAGTAGTTGTCCTTTTGTTGTTGTACATATAAGTACTTGTGCTTTAATGTAGTCGTCTTTTAAGCGGAGATCGAAAAAAAGAAATGAATGGATAGAATAATAAATAAAAGAAAGAAAGACTCTCCAAAGAAATATTGATCATTCCGTCAACCATTCATTTATTCATTCATTTATTCAATCACTCATTCAATCGATCAATCAATTATTATTCAACGACTTGACTTTTGTGTGTGAACCCTTGCGAAGTTACAAAAGAAAAATATATATCATGACTATGTGTGTTTATTTTGTATGTGAACCCAGAAAAAAATATTTGTTATAAACGATCAGTGAAACAGTGAAATCGTTTGAATCACCGAATGAAATTTTTAAAAATCAATTCTTAGGAAATTCCATTTATAATCTTTATGCGTTGAAAACTGAATCCGCTATCTTCGATCCCATATGTACTGTACGTACAACCCTTGTGTTTTCGCAACTAAGAACAACACCAAGCATACAAATAAAATTAGTTCTTGTGGATAATTTTGATGATGAAAACTACGATGAGAATAATGATAAGATTGTTACTTCATTTCACAAATAGATGATGAAATCCATGGGGCAAATTGAGAAACACAAACATGAAAAATGGAACACAGAAGAAAAAAATGTTATCACGCAACTCGATAAATATGCAAATAAGAGATGAATCCACGTGCATGCAGTCAGGCCATGCATCCAGGCTATCTGTTACACGCTGACAAACAAAATTATACAATAATCCAATATACAAAATACAAGGAAAACATACAAACGTAATACAAAAAAAACATACAAACAAACAAATGATGTAGATTAGAAAGACAAATATGTACTGTTTATACAAACATCATTCACCCTGCATTACACTAATGTTGTATATGTATTTACACACATTTTTGTAAACATATATACAAAATTACAAATAAATTTATACAAGCTACATACCAACTACATACAAACAACATGCAAGCTACATATAAACTATATACAAAAGGCATACAAAAAACATACAAACATTACACAAACTAGATATATACAAAAAGCGACATGCCAGCAAGCAAAAAGCATGCTTACATGCATAAAATACATCCCAGCAATAAAATTTTTCCTACTTAATAGATTGCCCATGTTCTATAGTTATCGACTGAATTGGGGTCAATACTGAGTCGATGTTGTTGCTGTTGTTGTTGCTGCTGTTGTTGTTGTTGTTGCTGCTGCTGATGTTAACAATGTTGTTGTTGTTAAAAATGTTGTTGTTGATACCATAAACTTTGTTGTTGTCATGGTTTTTATTGATGTTGTCGTTGATGATGTTATCATTCTGTATTGGATTAGCAAAGTACTTCTTTTCTACCTGCTAAATAAAGATTGTACAATCTGTTCAATCATATTTTTATCATTTATCTCAATCACTTCAATCTCACAGTCGTCATCATCGTCAATCAAAAGCCAAAGTCAGAGTTATCAGTGCCACATAATTAATCATTGTTGCATCATCGTCATTGAGATTTTTCTATCATCATCATCATTTTAATCATCATCATCATCATTTCAATCATCATCATCATCACTAATTATTATCATCATTGCTATCGCCATCTTCATCATCATCACCGTTACTTTTTTTATTATCGCTATCGAGTCTGATTAATTTGACAATGATGAAAATAGTCAGGAAATAAAAATCCGACACTTCGTCACGTGATCAAAAGCTCTCCATGACGTCATCAACAGGATTACAAAGACGTTGATGATGATAGTTGTGATGATGGTGGTAATGATGATGATTAAAACGACAACCATGACAATGAGGATGATGTTACCGGCGATGGTGTTGGTGATTAAATGAAAATCAATCAAATTGAACAATTGTGTGAAGGTGTAGTCTCAAATTATTTTGAATTCTCTCAGAAAAATTTAAAGTGCGTGCGTACGTACGTAAAATTAATTACGGTTGTCTTATAATGGATTTATATAATGTCAGAAAGTTTTGAAGGATCGTTCGTTAACGCCGATTTAGCTCGATTGCTGTTGCTGTTGTTATTTTTGTTTAACTTTTCATTTTCTCATTTCTCACATACATACTTGATAACATTCACACATACATAAGCACATACATAATCACGTACATGATGTTTTGATTTGACAAAAACACACCAGAGGAACCGACCTTGGCATTTAAAAAATTTTTAATTCCATTTCACGCACACAAACATTCACACATACATACATGCTAACACACTCAAGTACATAAGCACGTACATAATCACTTGCATGATGTTTTTGATTTGATTTGTTTTTGATCGAAGAAACCGACCTTGACATTTAAAAAAAATTTTAAATTAAATTTCTTGCAAAATCGATGTTGATTATGATTCTATCAAATCATCGCGTTACTGTTAATCATTATACAAAAACATATCAAATATATCAGATCAAACCGGCCAATCAGAATTTCTTTTTATCTGTCGTTGGAGGAAATGACGTCATTTTAACTGTAGTTATTAATATTTAACTGTACGATGGTAAATTAGCTAGCAAGTATAATCATTATATTCGATTCGATAACTAATATACATGGACTATTCGTCATATTCGTAACTTTTTCACTGAAGATATTGCTTCTTTACTGGCTCGATATCTCGTACTATCACGTTTAGATTATTGAAATTCTCTTCTCTATGGTATTCACTTCTACTTTTTAACTTTACTTCAAAGAGCTCAAAATAAAGTTGTTCTAAATATCAGTAAATTATCTTCCAGCACTGATTCACTCATTCAACTACATTGGTCGCCAGTACGTCAATGCAAGTTACTTAATACACCTCAAACATCATATCTTCATCAACTTATATCGCGTCGTTCATCAACTCGTCAACTTCGTTTGTCTTCATACACTCAGTTGCATCAACCTGTCAGCAATTCATCAGTCGTCAACAAACGTTTTATATACAGCTCTCCTTCCATATGGAATGGTTTGCCTGCCATCATTCGTCAACAACCAGCCATCAAACATTTTAGGAAACGATTATAAAACTGTTTGCTTATCCAGGTAATGAATAATGTTAATAATACTAAAACTGACAATTCGGCAAGTCAGATGTGTACGTTTTAGCTAAGACAACGACGTAACTAATTAATATCTAACAAACTGCCAACAACAATTACTACTGCGGCCAACAAACCAACCAATAACCTTCCAACAATTCTAATTAAATTAATTCTGCATGCAATAAGTAACATAGCGGTCAATAACATTAACGTTATGGAACTCCTGGTGACAATGAAGACAGCAACAATGTCCATTTTTTGCCGTTGTTTTTTGGAAAATATTGTTCCCCTAGCTTCATTCTTCTTGCATATTTATGCTAATATTATTTTCGTTTCGAAGATTGTTCTAGTTTTTTGTTGCTAGATGTTGTGTTTAATTTTGTTAAGTAAATTCTTATGCTGTCTTGTGCGTGCTATTGTTGTTATAGTTTTACTATTCTTATTGATGCAATTGCTTTTTTGCTATTTTTGATTACATTTTTGTAGAATTTACAGCCAAATTTGAGGACATTTTATTTCCTTGAACTAGATATTGTTTCTTTTATTTTTATTTTTTGTTGTTGTTGTTGTCGTCGTGACGTCATTGCTATCTATTACGTCACGTTACCATGACGATTTCGTCAACGTTGGTGGTATATTTATTGAGACAGCTCTTATCCTTACGACCGCCATCAATTTTGTCATTGTCGTTGTTTCAGATGTTGCGGTATTTATGACGGAGGAACAACAACAACAACAACAACGACAACCCCAACAACAACAACAACAACAACAACAACAACAACAACAACCCCAACAACAACAACAACAACCACAACAACAACAACAACAACAACAATAACAACAACAACAAAAACAACAACAACTACTACTACTACTACTACTACTACTACCAAAACAACAACAACAACCCCAACAACAACAACAACAACCACAACAATAACATCAACAACAACAATAGTGATAACAATAAATTCCAATTTGCTACTTTTTTCTGGAGCAATCTCGTTACTTGCTCCTGCTGGTTATACAATATATCATTAAAAAAATATGTAATTTTTATAAAAAAATTTAAGAAATATTGATCGTTTAGAATTATCAAAATCTTTTCAAATTTTTGTAAAAATCAAACTAACAAAAAAAATTTATAACACAGAAGACATTAATATGGTTGACAAAAGCAATGATATTTTTAAGGGAGGCCTTTTAATTATGCAGAGGATGTGAGAAAAGACACAATGAATTTTTTATTTTCTCGAGTTAGGAATGTTTATGAGGGTTACATCGTCACAATTATTGTTATCCTCATCTTCATTAACATTATTATTATTATTGTTATTATTGTTATCATTATTATCATAACTGAAATTAATATCATCATTCTCACAAAATTATAATTATTATCATCAACAACCTTATCTTCGTCCTCGTCACGGTTAAAAATCTTTCCATATCACTGTCGTCGTCGTCGTCTACCTTATCATCACCATCATCATTTTTGCCGATCACCATCATCACCCTTATCGCCAGCTACTTATCATAAGATGCATCGTAAATCACTGGCACACGCTCTGTCGTTATGCTAGTACTTCTTTGATGTATCATCCATTTTATTAACGTTATCTTCATTCATGGTGATGACAGCAATGGGAATGACATCAACAATAATTACAACGATGATGACGTCAGTGATGATGGTAATGGAGATGACATCAACAATCATTACAATAATCACACGGCATTAATAATAACAACAACAACACCAACAACAACAGCAAAACATAAACAATAACATCAACTTTTAATGGTAACCGACACTTCAATAATGTTCTTAAAACATTAAAATCAATATACAAATCGTTACCAAAATTACCAACAATATTAAATAAGAAGCCAAGCCGATACAACAATAACAACAAAGCCATCCATGACATTAACAAAAAAACACTAAAAACAACAACAAAAACTGAGAGCTTAAAAGTGAATTAGATTGAAACCCCATGCACGCGATAACAGGGAAAACAGTAGTATATCATTGTATATCATTGCATATCTATGTATATCATTGTATATCTATGTATATCATTGTATATCTATGTATATCATTGTATATACATTGTATACATTGTATATACATTGTATAACACTGTATATCAAGGTATATTAATGTCGGTAGCACTTGACCAATATGTAAACATGGTATTTAGGAAGATTTTGTTGTAGTCAAGTTTTTTTATTATTGATGTCATTTTCCATTGTGACATTAACAATTTAATTTGGTGAAATTTGGCCTAGACTACCTAACATAACATAGAATGACATGGTATTTAGGAAGATTTTGTTGTAGTCAAGTTTTTTATTATTGATGTCATTTTCCATTGTGACATTAACAATTTAATTTGGTGAAATTTGGCCTAGACTACCTAACATAACATAGAATGACATGACATGACATAGCATGAATGTTAAAAAGACACAACGCATCTTTTAAAGTTTTTTTGGCTGATTCTATACTGTTACAATTGTTAAAAGCGTTGTTGATAGTGATAATAATAATGCCTCATGGATTCAGGTTTGTTGATTGTTTGCGAAGAGAGGATCCATATCACGGGGGTTAATCATTTACTTTCGTGATCTCTTTAAACACAAAAGGATAGCTTTGCCGGAATTATTAACATTTGAGGCAATTGTGGTTATATTGACAGTAGGCAAAGTTAATGTTGTACTATTTGCCATTTATCGACCAGGATCGCAGTTGGTTTCTAAAGCATTTTTTCAAGAATTGACCAGTATCTTGGAGAACATAATGTTATTGAGTGATCATGTAATATTATTAGGTGATTTGAATGTGCATGTCGAAAGAAATGATAATGTTAATGCCAAGCTATTATCGAATGTGTTTGACATGTTTTCAATGCAAAATGTAATAAAAGAACCTACACATATGCATGGTGGAACGTTGGACTTGGTGGTACCAGTAATAAATATGCCTGTTACTCGTGTTAGGGTATATCCTAGTGGTGTCATTTCTGATCACAGTTTGGTTTCATTTTGTTTGCCAAAAGTTTGTTCCCCTGTGTTAAAGGTTAAAAAGACTGTACGGACGTGGAAGCGTGTGGATGAAAATCATTTGCTTACCTTGATTAATGGATCTCCGGTAAGTGGTGCTTGTAATGACGATGATGTAGATAGAGCAGCGGAGCTCTTCAACAATGAAATGATGAGAATTGCTAATACTGTTGCGCCTCTTCGTGTTGTTGAAACAAGAATGGTTCCAACTGCACCATGGTTTGATAGTGACTGTAGAGGAATTAAACGTGATTGTCGAAGGTATGAACGCAAATACAGGAAAAATAAATGCATGGTTAATAGGCAGAACTGGATTGGCCTAATGAATATGAAACAAGAGCATTTTGCAAAAAAAGAGAATCATATTGGAACAATTTAGTTAACACTAACGCTAACAACCCTAAACAGTTATGGCGAGTTTTAAACAAGATTTTATGTAACAAAAAAACTAACACGGTTGATGTAGCAAACAATAAAATTACTGCCAGTGAATTTGCAGAGTTTTTCAGGAAAAAGATTGAAAACATTAAAAAAACCATAACAGGGCATGGCGCACCTTCTTTCAGTTGTAAGGTTAAAGAACATCAAGTATTCTCGAATTTTTTGGAGTGCTCAAGTGATGATGTTAAGGCAGTTATTTTGAAAGCCTCTTCGACAACATGTATGCTAGATCCCATCCCGACGAGTCTTTTCAAAAAACACATTGAACTGTTTTTGCCGTACTTGACGGATTTGATCAATATGTGTTTGAAAACTGGAAGTTATCCAATGATTTTTAAAAAAGCAATTGTTACACCGCTATTGAAGCAACCATCGTCCGATGCAAATGAGTTGAAGAGTTTTCGACCTGTGTCAAATTTGTCGTTTATAGCAAAGATTGTTGAAAGGGTGGTTACAAGACAGCTTCTGCAATATTTGGATGAAAATAATCTTCTTCCGTGCTTTCAGTCGGAGTACAGAAGATTCCACTCTACGGAAACGGCACTGTTAAAGCTGTTGTCAACGTTATTTCAGGCATCAGATTCAAAGCAAGTGACATTGTTAGCTTTACTTGATATGAGTGCTGCCTTTGATTGTGTGGATCACAATATACTTGTTCAAAGAATGTCGGCAAGCTATGGAATTTCAGGCACTGTGCTAAGATTTTTCAAGTCGTACTTAAATGACAGATCACAGCGGATATTATTTGGTAATGAATATTCGGATGAAGAAAAAATGTTAACTGGCGTCCCTCAGGGATCGGTGTTGGGGCCATTTCTATTCTTGTTGTATACTGCTGATGTGTTTGACATGATGGAAAATCATAAAATGGAGTGTTATGCTTATGCAGATGATATTCAATTAGTGTCATGTGCTCCTGTTGAAAAGTTTGATGATTTAGCTGAAGGACTGAAAGATGCGTTGGCTGCAGTAAATATTTGGATGTCACAAAATGGAATAAAATTGAACAAAGATAAAACCAAGTTAGTGCCAATTGGTACATGGCAGCAGACATCAAAAATACATCGAGATGTATTAGAAATGGATGATGCCATTGTTAAATTTGAAAGATCATCCACAATTCTGGGCTTCACACTTGATGCTAATCTTGCCATGCATGATCATATACGGGGTGTCGTAAAGTCATGTTGTTTTCATCAACGTCAGTTGCAGCGCATTAAGAGATTCGTCAGCAAGCCCTCTTTGATGACATTAGTTCATTCATTTGTCCACTCACGTTTGGACTACTGCAACAGCCTACTGTATGGTGTTTCAGCGAATGAAATTGCACTGTTGCAGTCTGTACAGAATAGAGCAACTAAAGTAGTAATGGGTGGACGAAAGTATGATCACGTGACTCCATTGATTAAGGATTTGCACTGGTTGGTAATTGAAAAGAGGATTGTTTTTTAAATTTGCTTATTAATGTTCAAGTGTTTAAATGGTTTGGCACCACGATATCTGACGGAGATGTTTACACTCAAAGATATGACTGCTCAGAATTCTGTCTTGAGATCAAACGATCAGAATTACTTGACAGATCGGGTGTCAAAATTGAAGATTGGGTCTCGTAACTTTGCTGTATGTGGTACGAAAATATGGAACAGTCTTCCATGCGTCATTCGTCGACCAGGGATGTCACTGTTGCAGTTTAGGAGAGAATTGAAAATACACCTGTTTTGAAGATTAATTGAAGTTGTGAATAGTATGTTGCATGTTGCTTTTGTTGTTTATGAATGTAGCTTATCGATAACGGAACATTCATTTGTTTTATGCTGTTTTTTATTTACGTTTTAATTATATAATTGAGTTGTCGAGTACGTAATGTATGTGGGTGTTTTATGATGGAATGTGCTTACGTTGAATGTGTTTTGGATGTGATGAGATGTGTGTGTTTCGTGTGTTTCTAATAATTTGAATCGATTTATAATTATTGTGCTGGTGGCTGGGTATTTATCTGTTGGTTGTTCTGAATTATATGTTATCGTGCATCTTCTTAGCGTAATTGTGTGTGATTGGTGTGGATAAAGTGTGGATGAATGTATCTATGATTTGGTTTTAATGGTTGCTGTTTGGTTCTTATATGGTTGTTACATAACTTTGAGTGATTGGGTATGGTCGAGAGTATATGTGTGCATCTATATATGAATTTAAAGGATTTATCTGTTTTGTTTTAGTTCTTTTTACAATGTATACTTATGTTTATTTTCGAAATATTTATGCTTTTGTTTGATTACTTAAATGGACAAAAATTTTTTTTTTGGTTATGTTGGATTGGGTAGTTCTATAAAAGTCGCTATACAAGTTTTTTTTATAATAATAATATTACATGTGATGTTGATGCAATGTATTGCAATGTCATCTCCACTCTTTAATGTAATATTTAACTCCAGAGATAAGGTTGCAGACGTTTTATTAATGTGGTTGGCACTTTGATGTTGCCTGTATTGGCTTCCGTGCGTGCTTCGCTGTTGTTTGTTTTCTTCCTTGATGGTCTTATTTGAATGACAAAAAAATGTTTGCCACCAAAATATTGTTGACAGAATTAATGTTATTTACCAATCAGAGCCGCGACATTTCTCAAAAATATTGGGCTTGTACATTATTTTTACAAGAAAGAGAGAGAGAGAGAGAGAGAGAGAGAGAGAGAGAGAGAGAGAAAGAGAAAGAAAGAGAGAGAGAGAGAGAGAGAAAGAGAAAGAAAGAGAGAGAAAGAAAAGAAAAATAGCCAGTAAAAAAATACTTCTGTTTATGATATGAACAAATTTTAAGAAAAATATATAAATACATTTCAAATTGTATCATGAAACAAACAAAAAGGCAAAAAATGTGTATATACTAAAAGCGTACTATATTGTGTACGTAATTAATTTGTTTCATATTTATAAGTAGAAATACAAAAGTAAAAAAACTAAGCTGATAGAAACAAAGCATACAAACGAAGATACAATACAAATACGCAACATAGCTAGCGGTTATAACATAATATAAATTAATTTTAAACAAAACACTGTTTGTACTAAATTTTTTGTCTAATTATAACAGCCAAAATGGGTCAGAACTAATAAAACAAAACTCATGTAGAATATAAGTGCACTATTATATACAATGGTTTCTGTAATTTTTTACTGCAAATTTAATTCTTCATCATTAGAAGAAGAGTTCTTCTCACTGGTTGACAATACGAGGGCCACCTGAAAAATAACGTCAGAGTTTTTTTTTCATTGCAATTTTTTCTATTTGTATAAATATATATATTTTATATTTATATATTTTTATTTTTCTATAAAAATAAACATCCAAATGATTGTGCAAGCATTCCGGATGTGGAAGTCATTATTTCCAGTCTTTCCAGATTCTGGGTGTGTTTGTTTACCGTTATTTTTTGACAGGAAATAAATGAAGCTTATTGTTCACGACATGCCATCGCTGGAATGTTGAATGCAATGATGGAAATGATGAAGATAATGTGGATGGTGAAGATGATGGTGATTACAATGATGATGATGAGGAAGAAAAAGATGATGATGACGATGTATGTCAATGTTGTTATTATTATCGTTACCATCATCCTAGTTGCCATCATCATTATAATCGTATTTATCATCTTAACCATCATCGTCATCATCATTATCACTATTGACATCATTTTTGGCTTTCATCATCATCATCATCGTCATCGTCGTCATCGTCATCTCAATACTCATCATCATCATTCTCATCATCTTCGCTGAGGCGTGACTAGAATAAACAACGAATCAAATTCAGCGCACATTTTCGGCGAAGAAATGAACTCTTTTGACTCGGAGGAAATTAAATATAACAAACTGGAAAAAAAATATCGAAAATGTTAATTTGTAGTGTTTGAAAAAAATTGACTGGCATAATTATTACAAATACTACAGTGTGTTAAAGGGAATAATGAACTTGCCGCCGTATGTTTAACAAATACACGCCTGTCTTACACTATTTTCCAAAAGTTAAAGCAATGAAATTGTACAATAAAACGCCTCCTGGACAATGAAAAATTACAAGAATCAGAATGAAATGAATATGCAAACCAAACACCCATTGGCATGTCTAAACAATATTTCATGAATGACCACCTAGAGCAAGCATTCATTCATACATACATACATACATACATACATACATACATACATACATACATACATACATACATACATACATACATACATACATACATACATACATACATACATACATACATACATACATACATACATACATACATACATACATACATACATACATACATACATACATACATACATACATACATACATACATACATACATACATGCATAAAACAAACAAACAAACAAACATACATACATACATTAAAACATCCACATTCACATGCATCTTAACCTAAACACATAAGACAATAACTGACTAGAAACAACTGCAATAGTCTACCCATAATAATGATTCCAAATTACAGTATATGCCAATATTGACAATGTGCTTATTGAGGAAAGCAAACATTGCTTTATATACACATGCTATCAGGCACATTTACACACTCACACACATACATATATATATATATGCATGTGTGTATGTATGTGTGTGTGGTGTGTCTGTGTGTGTGTGTGTGGTGTATGTGTACGATTAGACGTATATCATCAAGTTTTACACAATTATGCATAAAGGCGAAATGATAAAAAACTGGTTGCCAGACATCCAGAGGTATATCTGTAACACTACTTAACAATCCTTTGACTGAGCCATTTTTTATTTCACCAGAATCCGTCAATTCATAGTTTCTTGTTTCATTTACTTTAAACGATTCCAACATGTGTGCCTCGCCAGCCAGCCACTGCCGTTTAACAAAACATCTCACTATAATGATTCTCTTTCTTCCTTTGTTTCCTCAACAAACTACTTTTACGCTATTTTTAAATTCAAAAAAATTTAAAACCTCACTTAGTCCAACGTCCACTCTGCCAGCCAGTCAACAACATCTTTCCAGAGGCTGGCGATGCAACCACACGTCAGTCGTAGCAGTACGTTGTCGGAAAGATAAAAAGGATTTTGCCAATTTTTAAGCCAGCACATATGCGATTTAAAATATTTATACGTACATTATGCATACGCATCATAACACACACACACAAACACACATAGACGCATTCAAAC